CACGTGTCATTTGGCATTTTTCTTCCTACCGGACTGACTGAATTCACATGTCATGCAAGTTGCAGATACCCAAGATTCACCCTCAGGGTGCCGAACTGGCATAAGCATGTGCAAGCGGCAGGCGAATTGTAATCTTGATGCTCTTGTGTGGACAAAAGATGAGGTGTTCTTTCACAACGTGGTCGCCGCTTCAAGGCGGCAAGGGAAGAGCCCATGGACTAACAGGAAGCGAACACTGAACGATTGAATTCACATGTCGTAGTGGCTGTAATTGTGAAAAACTTCCCGTATTTCCGGCGTATTTCAGGTCCGAAACCAAAGCACAGCCTGTATTATTGTTCAGATAACAATAGGCGCATTTACGTCGCATTAAGTTAGCCGTATCCGCATTTCCCAAGCCTAGCTTTCTGTGCACGTGCAAAACGTGGCACACACAAAGGTGCGCAACTCTGTCCCGCTTTCAAAAATGTGCCGCACAAACGGCAGGAAGGAAGCGGCCGTACACATCCATCTATGGAAAATCATTGTGTCAGTCATATAGGTGACTTTTCTCCAAGTTTCTCCTGCCTTGGCGCCGCAATCCTAGATTCAACATCATCGCAAACTAGTCCTGATGTTTACGACATCGAATAAGTAAATAGGTCGGCTATTCTTAAGCCGGACAGTGCTCAGCATGCTCTCGCTTCCTAGAAACGCTTAGGGGCTGTCCATGTCAAACAGGCTTGACGGATATGAAGTGTACGCCGGTAAAAGGTCGCATATCCTTGAGATTGAATGGGATATGGGGGGGCCATATCCTGATGTTCAATAGTGCATGGGCATCGTACCCTGGATCCGGATGCTCCCTGCTCATGTCAGGAAGCCTCCATAGCCCAGATATGGGGAGGATGTGGGAGACGACATACAACATTTTTGTGAAATAGTGCCCCGCCATCAGTGTTCACCTGGCAATCATGTGTCAGATGTTGAGTGAATGGATGCACGACCAACAGCGAGCTGAAAATAAAAAAATGCTTTTGGCGCTGTTCGGGTCGCCAATCTATACGATACGAATTTATGCATATTTAGCGACCCGTGAACCTCAAAATTGGTTAGAAAGTGGCAGAAATCCACAAAAGTGAAACAAAGGGCTTCATCTCCTCCAAGGGGACACTGCAGGTCTGAGGTTGCACTTCCTAAACGCCTTCCCAGAAGGGAAGACTGTCGCCAACGCCGGCCAAAGGTGGGGAAGTAGAATTGATCCAAAATGTGTACCGGAATGTCACATATAATATACGACGTCTGCAAGCCAATCTGCGCAATTGATGATCACACTGCCAAGTTTCAAGAAAATGGGATCAATCAGTGACCAATCAGTTTGATTAATGTCGTAGTGCAGCTCGACATCTGTGGCAACTGCTGTGAGACCAAGCTGAAGCCATCTTTGGGTCAGAGCTCCCCCATCCCGATCCAAGCGATTGAGGAAACATCAGGATCACTGGTGGAAACAGGTCTGGCATTTTAGGGATTTCTGTGTATGAAAGCGCCCAAACTGACATGATTTTCAGGCTGATATATGATTCGCGGCAGGCTAGCGTGTGTTATGATATCATTTCTGTTCAATTCTTCTGTCACAGGCAGATGTAGTTTAGATGTTTCTGTGAGATTTGACAGCCCAACAGGGCTGCAACTTGCTGCTTAAAGAAACATCAGAAATATGGTCATGAAGAATTGGAGACTGATGCACTGAGTGACTGTACCAGTCTTTTACTTCGAACCAAGAGGATGACTGGGCTGATTGGTGGCATAGCTATGACGCCACAGCCTTATTTTGGGGCAGTACATTGCAGTGCGGCATAAAGGGCAGGTAGAGCTGTGAGTGTGAGCGAATATTGCTGGGCATCTTTCAGGTTGCGAAACAGATTCGATTCTGTTGCTGCGTGTGGAGTGGAAAGGTGACGAATTAATGTCTTGATGGCCATTTGAGTGTAGCAAGAAGAGTATGTGAGGGTTAGAGAAGCACGCTCTGAAGTTTGCGGAAGCATGTTCAAATCTTAATACGAATGGTAGAGTGTGAGGGGCAAGGAGAGTGAAAATGAAGTGAACGGCCATGTTTTGAAGTGACCTGTCAGAAATTGTACAAGATTTGATTGTACTGCCCCTTTTGATGTGGCTAGGGTATGTTATGGGTGGCTGCCGCGTTGTGTGCGGGGCCACATGCTGCTATTCCCAGTGCAGGAGGGGCTTAAAGGGACACATGAATATTGTGAAGCTGTAAGCATCCTGTTGATTTTCTCCAGGCTTGGTTTTTACGTTTTCGTTTTACGTTTACGTTTTAACGTGCAAAAACGTAGATTTGCGAAAGGGGCGATTTTTACGGCTATTTTTACGTTTTTGCGGCTCGCTGGGACACCCAGGTTACACGATGAAAGTTGCGTACAATGATCAGTCCTCCGCCATCTCCAGCACCCGCAACACAGTGCCCACCACGTCCTAGGCAAGGGCAACGACGGCATGGAACAATAGTTCGTCTTCGAACCATTCCAGCGCGTCTGACTGCCACTCCCCGGGCTCACCAAGTCTGCGTGTACTGTCCTTGTGTACACATGGCTGTATTTACGTTGTATTTACGTATTTCTAGGTATTTTATGCATAAAGACGTGAAAACGATTTCTATGCATAAAAAGGTAAAACTATTTTTTCGCATAAAAACTTAAAAGCTATTTTTACGCGTTAGAACGTAAATACATTCAGTTTTTAAAGCGCAAAAGACCAAGCCTGGTTTTCTGCACGTGTGCGACCTTTGCACACAGGTCGTGGCGTGCAGCCCGACTAGATCTGCTTCATGGCTAGGAGTTTGAGGTCTCCAGCGCTTGGACTTCGGCAGAGTGCGCCCAATGCAATCTCGCCGTTCGGGTGGATGGGTTCCTCTGCGATTCTATGAGAATCGAAGCTGTTCCCGCGTGTTTGTCACCCAAGGCCCGAAGATCTGCATGATCCTGGGTGTGCAAGGCCCGGAGGTCTGTCTGAGCTGGGCTCTCGCTGGCGGAATCGCTGGCGACATATCTGCAAAGGAGCTGTATGTCCCCAGATTCGTCTCCTTCGAGGCAAATCCAATCGAGCCAGAAGGCGGGGCAGGCGAAGGCTTGACGCTTTGTGGGTTTTCGCCCGGTTGTCTGCCATGCTAGACGGCCACCTTTTGCAGCGCAAAGTTGGGGAATGAAAGCCACCCGCTGCAGAAATGCCTCGATTGCCGCCCTGCGCCCTTGTTTGCCCTGGCCGATTGTCTATCAGTCTAATCGCCAATCGGCCACATTGTCTGGGGCAATCGGCTTAAAGCCTTTGCGAAGGGTGGGCGCACGTTTGGGCCAGTGCCCACACACCCTCCCAGGTGGTGCAATGCTGGCCCCATTCGGGGTATGTGAATCGCTGTCGCGGACGCGCTGGTGGAGCTTCAGCACAGGGGTGGTGCTCGCCACACCGTCCTCCCACACCCCATGATATTCGGGATGCAGGCCACGCCGCATATGATGTCACACCTCTTGCGGTGCCATCATCACCACCCCAGCGGGAGCAGCGGCAGGGGCACATCGCTCCGGCACATCCTCCACCGCGACTGGTTCGACCTCCGACACGCCGTACGCCTCCCCCGCTCCCAAGCCCCACGGGCCCGCCCAAGTTCGTGGCCGCGACCGCCCAGCCAGCCGCGAGGGCGCGCGTCGCCTCCGCTCGCGTCAGCGCTCGATTTCTGCGCCCGCGGCGCCGCCCCGCAGCCCCACGGGGGGGCCCAACTGCCGACGTGGCGGCCGGCTGTCGTGCGGTACAGGGGACCGTGCTTTGTCACTCTCGCGTCACAGATACGGAACTTCGCGCCACGTGCCGGGGCCCAGCGCCTGCGGCTTCATGCGAACATAACCGCGAGCCCCCACGGCGTGCGCCCCAGGAACAACAACAGCCCCGCCTCAAGCGCGCCCGCCCCGCATCCGCACGGCCACTCGCGTACGCGCGCGGCAGCACGATCGGGCGGGCGGCCACGCGGAGCTCCCGGCCAACCATCCTCGACCTTCCCGCGGAGCACGTGAGTCCTTCCCCGGCCGCCGGCCGTCCGGCGATCCGTCCCGCCGCGTCGTTTTGGCGCCCGTCGGGCTGCGGCGGCGTCTCTTCGAGGCTCGCGCGGCGGCCGTTTGTCGCGTTGGCCGCAGCCTCGCCCCGGCATGGCTTGCGGCGGTGGGGTCCCGTTGCCGGGTCCCGGAACTCCCGCACGGGGGCCGTACCGATGTACGCCGGCCGGCGACGGCGCGGCGGCACTCCGATTGCCGTCAGCTCCGCCCGGAGGCGCGCTGCGCGCGTCGGCGCCTCGGGCGGCTGCCCAGTGGGCGCAGCACGGCCCCGTCGAGCCCGGCCAAAGTCGGCCAACCCCGTCGCCAGGGCGGGCTGCCTGCGCGGATCCTCGCAGGGACAGGGGAGCGGCGCGGGCGCCCCTCGCGGGGCAGGAGCTCGACTGATGCGGCGTGATGCGGTCCCGGTCCCGGCGCCACGGTCGGGGCCGGAGCGTCGCAGGCGTATGGCCGCCTACGGTATCTCCCGGAGGGTGTCGTGCGCCGCGGCGCCTCGCGGGGCCCGCCCCCGGCGGCACCGTCCGTTGCAGCACCGTCGCAGCACCGTTGCAGACGGGCCGCTTCTTTTCAAGCGCATTTCCGCTCCCAGAACATCGAGCTCGAACCGCAAATGGCTGTCGCTCTCGTTCGCCCGTTTTCAGACCGCATCATTGATGGACTCGACGTGAAAGTCTGCGCTCGGCCGAATTGTGGCGGCGCTCCAATGCGGCGCCCTTCCGACGCGGCGCCTGTCGATCGAGGGGCTCGGGTACCCCGGGCTGGTGGGTGACAAGGGCTGCGGTGGTCGCAGGCGGGATGTACGGCGGGCATGGCGGCTGGAGCGGCGGGGGCGACAGGATGGGGATGGGCGGGGGCGGCGGGGGCGGCGGGGGAGGGCGGCCGATGGGGTACGGGGCGATGGGCATGGGGCCGATCGGCGCGCCGGCGGGCTATGGCGCCGGCCGCGATGTCGGCCTCGCCGGGAGGCCGCCGGGCCGCGGGGGCCTCCCTGGGCCGCCGCCCCGGTCGGTGACCTTCACGGAGGGGAAGCTGTTCCTGGGCGGCCTGGACAGCACCACGACGAAAGAGTCGCTGACGGCGTACTGTTCGAAATGGTGCGGTGATGTTGATCGGGGGGGGGGGATTTGATTTCGTGTGTGTGGATGGTGGTGGGTGGTCGGCTGTGGTGCTTCTGAACGACAGCCATCGAACGGCGGGAACGACGCGGGATCGAAGACCCAGGGGGTGGTGGGTGTGGGTTTTAAAGCGGGGAAGAGGGGGTGTGCTGTGTGGGCGGAGCGGCTCTGGGGATGGGGTAGCCAAAGCGCGGGCGGCGTAGCTTGACGTAGTTGCTTTATGCTGTGGTGTGAACCCTAGGGGAGAGATAAGCGACGCTGTAGTCATGGAAGGCAGAGGGTTTGGGTTTGTTACTTTTGAAGATCCGAAGAACTCTCAGAACTTCTTGGAGGTATGTGTGCGTGCGTGCGGGGGCTGCAGGGATGTGCAAGGCGGTACTGATGTGCGCGCGTGTTGGTCCGTCGACAGAGGGACTTGGATGGTGTCGTGGGCTGCCCTGTTGCCGCCGTTTTGCTGGCACCCTTGTGCTTATCCCCCATGCTGCATGGGTGCGTGCTTCCAGTTCTGCAGTCGTGGTGCGGACCGGAGAGTGTGAATTTTGGCTTTTTGCTGGTCCTGCAGCATCGCAGCCACGTTATTGATGGCAAGAGCGTTGAGGCAAAGGCTGCTGTGCCCAAAGGCACTGGCGGGTCAAGCAACCTGACAAAGAAACTCTTCGTTGGGGGCACGGTGAGGGCAACACGTTGCTCACCCTGCAGCGCCAGGCTTGCTGCTGCTTTGGCAGAATGGCCCCCTGGCCTTCTCTGCTTTGTGCTGGACTTTGGGCTAAGTTTGGCAATGCCATGCAGGGGGAACTCACAGACGATGATTTCAGGGCGTATTTTGGGCGTTTCGGGGAGATCCAAGACGCCGTGGTATGTTCAGGTGCAGTGCAATGAAGTGCAGCGATGAGCAGTGGAGTGCAGTGTCTGAGGATGGGGGCACAATATGCAGTACTGCCATGTCATCAACAGAGGATCTCTCATCGGAGATCAGCTGTGCCAATGTGATCATGCATAGACAACTCTGTGTACGTCTGAACAAGTGCCATGTGCTCCATATACTGTGGGCAGATTTAGTCCTTCAGGAAAGAACTGACAAAGTTACTGCATCCTGCGACTGTGCAGATCGTCAGGCGATCAGATGGTGCCTCCAGGGGCTTTGGCTTTGTTACATTTGCGGATGAGATGTCCGTGGAGAAGTGCCTGGTGCTACAGCATGACCTCAACGGCAGGAAGGTGGACCTGCGGCGTGCTGTTCCAAAGGAGCAGATGCCGAATCAGGGACCCTTTGGTATGGCCATGGGCATGGCTGCGCTGAGGGGCGGCTACGGCCTGCCCATGGTGGGATATGGTGGGATGGGCATGAGTGAGATGCCAGCCATGGGGGCGCACATGGGAGGCTACCCAATGGGGGCCTACCAAATGGGCGGCATGTCACCATACCCCCAGGACTTCGACATGAGGGGCAGACCGCAGGGTCCCAAGCCCAATCGCTTCAGGCCTTACTAAGGGCACGAACATGCACAGAAGTAAGGCCATGATAGCAGGTGTGGACCTTTATCTCTTCTTGAGAACCTGCCTCAAAGGTTTCGGACTCTTCTGAGTGCCTGAGCGACCCTGTTGCTGTCCGCGCTCCACTGCATGCAGTCTTTTGGAGGGAAGACCACGATTCGACTCAGAAGCAGATCCGTCATTTAACCTCTAATTTGATTGTGTCCACGTACCTATAAGTCGACAACAGAGACAGCCTGGCAGCCTTGGTGAAAGGTTCCTTGAAGAGAACTATGTCCATTTGGATGTGCCTGTGAGCACTAGGGTGGGTTCAATGCTGTTGCAAGTTGTCTGCTGCGATTTGCATTGTGTGGCCTGTGTCAGCAAAGTGTAGAGTAGTGCTTTGGTGAAGGCGTCTCCTTGTGTGCAATTCAACAGGTGTGGTCCGACACGTCAATGCGAATTCAATATTTTGATGTTTACGAAGCGCGACTGTCACAATGAAACCTTAGTTTTTGTTATGCCAACGTTTGAGTAGCAACCACTGTGACCAAGATTCCCGTTTGCAGTGTTTAGGGGATTTGTTAAGATAGCTCGACGCAGCACGTATTGTGACAATTGTAGCGCAGACTGGCGGCCGTCGGACAACGCTAATTTGTTGCAGCAGCCATTCGCTGCTGTTTCCTGTGAGAAGCTCTGTTGAGGTCAGTTCTGGGACGTGGGGAAGGTGTTGAGCCCCTTGTGCCGGTCCACTTGCAGGAGGATTCCTATGTCGCGTTACTGGCGCCGCCGGATGAATGCGGCGGAGGCAATGGGGACGGAAGCGGCGTGGGTAGCATGCTGTATGCACAAGAGAGTAGATCAAGAAAAATCATCAAGCCGAGGTGGGCGCTCTGTGTGTTGAGCGAGAGAACTGTTGTAATTTTGACAGCGGCCAACGGGAGCCGCGGGATGCAGTCCCAAGAACTCAATTGAACCGGAAATGTATGGCTCAAGGTGTGGCGCTAGTTCGGGGGTGTGTGTATGTGCGCGCGTGTGTAAGTCATAGCATCCATGGCGACAACGCTCGTGTCGAGGTTGTAGCCCAGTCGAAGTGTGCTCCACTTCGGCTATTTTATTGCTGGGGGCAGGGAGGAAGGAGTGGTTCTTAGGGATCTGGGGCCAGCGGCCGGAGGAAAGAAATGAAATTGGGGAAACCGGGGGGGCTGGGGGACCACGACGACGGGTGGTTCGCGGCTTGGCTGGGGGGCGGGAGGCAATGAAATGGCGTGCAGGAATGTGGACGTCGTGAAAATAAAAGGAAGGTGGGGGGAAAGAGGTTGTTGGCAGATGGCGGTCCCCGGGCGCGCGCGCCTCCGGATATGCGTGGTTCGATTGAACACCCAATAAGAACATGGGCGTGTCTGTGAGGGCGGCGGCGCGCGCGGGGACGCTCAGCTCGGAAGAGGACGCCGTGTAGGGAGGATTCGCATTCTTAACAAGCATGTTGTTGCTCAGTGGAGGGCAGCCTGCGCTTGGCCACAACGCCTGCCGTCACTTGTGTGCTCATTTAATTGGATTGGCGAGATGGGGCCGGCGGGGAGGTGGGGAGGGGAGTGTGTTCGAGGCCCTTACGATGGCGATGTGCACGACGATGGCTCGAGAGGATGCGCCGGTGTTTTGGTCGGAGCTTGGTGCATGTGCGTCGGGTGTCGTTGGCGCCCGGGATGTGGGGCGTGGCGGCGCCAGTCCGGCTGGGACTGACGCCCGGGGGCAACCTGGGGGCGCCTTTGTCCCTACCGCTGCTGGTGCCGCCGCAGATTGCGAACGTGAATCGGAGATTCTTGTTCGGGATGATGTCTGCTCGTAATACGTATCGTGTTTGATATCCCATTGTGCCACCTGGCGACCGCGGGCGGGCCCCCACCGAGCCTGCCGGTTAAGTTGGCGGGGGAAGGGTGACGGCGTCCATGTTGACTCGGGAAACACCGCATCCGTGGCGGAGGCCTGCACAATGCAGGCTGTGTGCGGGGCGTGCACAGCTGCTGCCAAAGCCTCAGGCGAGGCACCTCTGCGAACGCCTTGTGAGCCCACGTGCGTGGACCCCGTCATCACGCTGCGTTTGGACATACAAATGGCCGTCGTTGGTTTCAAGGGCGAGCTCTGCACTCCCGCTGGCTCAGCTTGCCCAAGACTTTCCGCCTCCACTTTACCAGTTGGTTGTCCGCCGGGGCACAAGGCCGAAGCGCCGTGGCGTTGCGGGCGGCAGCCGATTGGGGAGTGCAGGGCTCTCCCAGGGGATTTTGATGATTGCGTTGTTGGGTCCGGTGAAAGTGGACAAGGGACCGTGCTGTGTCGATTGGGTGCGCTTGTCGTCAGGCTGGCGTGTGCTCAACGTCACCCACAGAAGACTGCCTGGCAACATGACGCAACACTTCAGCTCAGGAGAGGGAGCGTCGGGACGTTCTGTGGAGGGCGAGAGAATCTTCTCGGAAGGCAAACGGCCAGAGTTTCGGGGAAAAATAGAGGGCTGAAGGATGTGATGTTTGAGGCGATGCCACTTGTTTGCCGCTCACCAGCGGGGGCCTACCCTGACGTGTACAATGTCAAAATCAACACATCGTGGTCCCTGCCAAGCCATAGCTGGTGCCCGTTTCCAATCCCTACTGTATGGGCCCACGGTCCCGATCAATGCGCGGGCTGCCAGACTGGAAACACCTCCAGCACCGACTGGATGCCTTCGGGGTAGCTTCGTGGGCGTGTGGCAGTGCTGCACGCGCCAAATCTGCTGAGACTGCAGTCCAGACTTCGGATTGCATTTGTGGAGCCATCGATTGGCTTTTAGGGCAGCAAGATCGGCTCGGCACCGGCAGCGCTGGTCCAGCACCACGGCGGTGGCGCCGGCGGCCAGCCACTGGCGAGTCCTGCACAGGTGGCCAACAATACAACACGCCAAGGGAGCTGCTGCACTCGAGGACGGCGTCTCAAAGCCCAGCCACGGCATCATGCGCCCCGCAAGCCCTCGTGGTACAGACAGTGCGTAAAAGTTCATTTTCTACAATGTTTGTAGACCACGCTGGCCGCTTACGTACTGGACAACCACACACACCTGGCAGCGGTAGCATGGCGACGCAGGCCAGCCGATGGTAGCGCAGCTCAATCTAGCGGGGGCTGTGTACAGCGCTGGCGCCATCAGCCCCAGCCCCCTTAAAGCACAAATGCCAATTACAGCCAGGTGAACAACTCGTGCTTGGCAACTCACTGCAGCCAAAACGACACAGCCGCGGCGCGCCACACCTGCTCCTCCCACATGCGCAACACAAAACCGCCCAGCGTCCGGGAAGCTGCCACGCCACACCGCCCTCCCGCGTTGCCCGCACATCTGAACCAACACGCGCTCTATCAGCCGCACCGCCACGCCCTCACACGTGGCACTCCAGAAACCCACCTCTGTGCAACCTGTCCCCATTGTACACACCCTGCTCGCCTCAATGGAGTCCTACAGACAGCGCCCCACTCAAACGCCTCCCTCGCGCACATAAAGCGCACAAAACACTGTGGTAGGCTTGAACAAACGCGTCCAAACAGGGGGACCGCATCCTCAGCACTCGTGTGCACACGCCACCAGCTCCACTGCTTCTCCAACATCAAAATCTCAATACAGATACGCCCTCCCCACATCCTGCTCGACACATTGCTCTTTGCGCACATTCCTGTCGATTCCCCCTGCCTGGTCAGAGGAAGCCCCAGACCACCAGCAACAGCAACCCTCCGCGTCGTCCTGGGCCTCGTTCAGGCGCCGCTGAGCGTTGCATCCCAGTTACAGACAAGTGTTGCTCGGTATGACGTCGCCGTAAACGTAGATCGGAAGAAGAACATAAAAGAACACGATGCTCAAGAAACCTGGGAGGAGGCGACACCGAAACGGCAGTGAGCGCGAAAAACACGGAAAAGCGAAGAGGGACGTCAAGGTCGAACGCACGATGACGCAGGAAAAGGAGCAACCAGGCAGGCCACATTCACGTTGCAAAAGGGCAGTACACGTGAAGAGCATGGCAGAACGGGGATCCAGCGGTTCCAGGGCCACCCTCCAGTCGCATTGCGGCAGGGGCCTTTCGAAAGCCAGCCAATGGCATGACTGCAGAGGGGTGGGCATTTTGCAACAGCAATTTTGAGAATGTTGTGCATTGAAGCGATCGGCGCAGGGGGCTGAAAATGCCAACAGACTTTTGGCCCCCAGCATATACTATCGTTCATCGCACCCACATGAATGCAGTGGTAATCCCACAACCACGATATGCCTGGAGACATATTGAGAGCAAAATATGCTTGGAGCCAGGCGTGCAGTAGGAATAATGCCATCACAAGCTTGTGTCTCGTTCATCAAAGGGAAGCGCTCGACAGAAAACAGCCATACAAGAAATGAACGCATCCTCTCCAATGCTTGCACACTGGATGGCTGTGTGCAAGCCCACAGGTCAAGGTGTTCCATCCATCGCTCTTTCGGTGCCCACAAGTCGCTGCCAGCTAACTTCCAAGCCCAGAGCTGGTGCACGTGCACCACAGAGGGTTGCCTCACCTAGGTATGGCAAAACCGCCTCAAATTTCGTTTTGTGCAAGTTTGGCAGAAACACAAAGCTCGGGAAGAGCCCAGCCAAAAAACCGCCAGCATGAGACAGGTGAGATGTGTTGCCCTGACATCAGTCACACTGGTTAGTGCACTGCCACAGAAGAAACAGTCCCAATCCATTGAGCACCGGCACGCTAACAATGGCTGTCTCCAGAGCTGGTGTCCAGAAGTACACTCATTGCAAGCAGAATTCTGCAACCCTGTCACATGAAGTGCACAGGCAAGGGAGATACTTGGCATCCCTGAAATGATCTGGGCATCTTTCACAGCAGAGTCTGTTGTCGCTCTGCAAAGTTTCCATATCAATATAAGATGCCCCCCTGAGTGGCAGCAAGACCCCATTATCACCATTGGAATAACATGGATGACAGCAACCATGCATGCGCAGGGCCTGGCCACCAGCCTGGCGAGTTTGTTGCATTAAGAATCCCTTCACAAAAGCAGATGGGAAAAGATGCTACCACACGATCCATGCGTGGGGTCGAAGTGCAGAAGCGATGCCACCAAACCTTGCATGTTATGGGAAAGAGCTGTGTGCAAATGAGGAAGCGATCACAAGAGCACCCTATTGATGCTGTGAAATTCAGCAACTGTCAGCAGAATACCGTTGCTGCCATGGAATCACATTGTTTGACAAAGATGAGAATAGGCACACATCCCTCTCCTCCAAGTTGTGCCGACTTGTGCCACCTATCTGCAATGAGCCGCAACTTGCCTCCTGGAAAAGGGTGATGATCGTGAGCGACAGCATGAGAAGCAGGAAAAAGATCCTCAGGATTGGAAAGGTGACTGACTCGAAATTCAGCAACATGTCTGCCACGAACAGTCCCAGCAGGCCAAAACAGCATCCACTTGCGCCCACCACCACATCACACACATCCTGCGAGACGAAGGCAAACTCAGCTGTCAATGTTCACCCTCGTTGCCACATAAGCCACACATGGACATGCATGGGTTACCAGCATCCAGGTTCACACGCAGGATTCTTACAGTTGAGAGTGAGACAGGCTGACTGGAGCTGACAGGAGAACACCAGTGCCAAAATGGAGGTGGGACATGAGTTCTAAAGGTATGACCTGCACCTTTGAACAGATAACAGGGTGGAAAGCAAGGCACACACTTCAGGTTCACCAGTAGCAATGACAGAAACAATCCAAACGTGACAAATGAGCACAATCATGGAAGGCAATTATCAGCCAGCAGAGAGCAGGTGTCTTGAACATCCTGTAGCGATTATGAATCTGGCACAATTCTCATCAACTCACTTCAAACGCAGCACTGAGCAAATTTCCTCCAATTCCAGCAAAGAAAGACAGAGCACCAATCCGCCTACAGAAAACCAGCACAAATTTGTTCAATCCTGAGTTGGAGTGACTGTGTGAACTGACATAGAAGATTTTAAACGAATCCTGTCCACCGGCCAGCTCACTACTGTGTGCACTGTCTCTCCCAGGGAAGAGTCCAAAAGAGTAGCACTGCTTGCAATTTCTCTCCTCGAAAAATCCAAGCTGTTGTGCATGCTCTCAGTTTCCTTAGCTAACAATCCCACACAGAGCCACACGTGGCCACAATTGTAACAGCCAACACCAGAAACAAACAGTCGAGAATGTTGGCATACATGCAGAACATGTTCAGCCTTGGAAGAGCAATCATGCACTGGATGATGGCCCCAAGTCCCCTTGGGCCAAGCCATGTTCTGTCAACAGAACACACAAACAGGCATGCACAACTGACGACTCACAGTGTTCCATATTTGTGTTCCAGGTGTGTAGAGAACAGGAGAAATATGATGGCATTGTTCAGCAGGTGAGCCAGGTCTTGGTGGATCAGGAGTGAAGTTATCCACCGGTAGACGTCTGCCCCATTCTCCATTAGCGGAATATATCTTCCGCCCCAGAGTATGAGGTAGTTGGACGAGAATTGGTATGCGTCACCACGCTTGACGACCCATTTTACAAGTGCATCGGGCCCAATTTTGTTCAGGTTGTCTCGGACGATCTGAAGGTCCTGTGGCAAGGCACCAGCTGAGATGAGCTCAAGTAACGATGGCAAGCACACAATTATGTCCTTAATTCATTGCCCTTCAACTTTGGAAAGATGCACCTGTCACATTCGGCAACAACAGGAACTGTGTATATTTTGGCAAGGTGTGCGGGCCACCCCTGAGAGACCAGAGCATCTTTGTTTTGTTATGCAACCGCTGCCATCCAAAGGTGCATTCTGACAATTCAAATGTGCTGCAACGCTGTGGAGAAGGCACAGCGACCACGCCAATCAGGCAAAGGCTGTAAGATATAGCATGACTCTAGCTATCTAAAAGTTGCAATGCGCATGCCACAGCCCTGGAAGCCAGATTGTTCCCTGGGGAAGCAAAGCTCCACCACATTCCCTTCCATCCTTCATTTTCTTTCCAGGTGAGTGGGGATCTGCACTGTGTAAACTTTGGAGTCTGCCAGCAAGGTTGGAGACACACCGCTGCAGTGCTGAACCACCATTCAGTGGAAGAGATTGAAGATTGTCTGCGTATTGAAGATTTACCAGCTCAGGATGGAGACAATATGCCACATAGTGCGGAGCCACCATGCTTTCTGGATGCAACAACAAGAGGTGCTCCACATCAGCCAAAGCTTTCACATCTCAGCCAACAGCCTACCACGACTGCATCTGGGCTTTCTAGCCAACGGGGAAACTCCCCCGCCATGTAGAAGAATGGCACAACGAGAAACAGGAAGAAGCCCCAGGTGTAGATAAGGTCATGGTTGTTCATCTCCTTTGGTGTGAAGCTGTGCACCCACACAGAAGCACACAACCCAGCTGTCAGCAGATTCTTTGACTAAAATATTGCATTTGAGCATGCCTGTGAGACCAAGAAGGCAGGTTCAGTGCAGGCCTCAGCACATTTCATGAACAAGTAGTAGCACTAATGTGTCAGCAGTATCAATGACACACACAGGTGCAAGGGCATCTTGCAGATTGACAGCTAGTGGTTCCACAGAATTTCTGACAAAACAAAGGAGGGCTGGTCAGTCCCACCGAGGGCCACATATTTTGCAATAGTGAAATTGGCAACTGAGCACAATTTTTGTTTCATGACCTCATGTTGGCACATGCGATGCAATGGAAGGCAGAAAATGTTGACTCACATGAGAAAGATCCTCTCCCCAAGAACAAATAGTTCGTTGGCCATGCGATCACCAAAACCTGCAAGGCAACAGGAAGTACTGCTGTCAAAAATATGTCACTCTGGGACATTGGTTTCCGGTCAAGAGATGGGGATAATGGAGGCAGAAATCAGAACTAATTCTGAGGTGGCGACATTGTCTGGGACAGCCTTGATGGTGCAAATGCACTGCTTTTCCATGTTTACACAAGGGATCACAGCAAAACTGTGTGTGCCCTACAATGCGGTGGCACCAGTCATGTGCAGGATTGTTGCCACAGTCACAAGCATCCTGGTGCACAGAGCAAAGTCGTTCTGGGATAGATTGCTTGTGGAATCTCCACAACAAAAACTGTGTATTGTATAGGCATCGACTGCTGCATGCTTAAGGCATGAATCCAGAGAAAGGTGCCCAACAAGGTGATACCAGAGCTTAATCGCGAAATCATACCTTGACATCCACCACACCTTGCACAAAAGTTAATATCTTGCACAAGTAAAAAAAATACAAACTACACAACGATTACCCCTTAATACGCAATGCAAGGATGCTGACAAGAACCATCTGACCAAGCTTGGCAGCATCATACACTCCAGAAGGCCCATAATCAACATTCCTTGCGCTCCACGCCAGCAAATGGTTGTAACAGCTTGACAGGCAGCAGAAAAATTCTCCCGTTGCAACTTCCCTGTCAGTTTCAGGTGATCATCTTTTGGGTTGTACACCACCACGCACTTTCTTGTGAGGTGTGGCAAGGCCCACACATATCTTGTGAAGACAGGGGCGCCATGTGGACCAATATATGTGAAGCAATACTTCACAATGAAAGTCAACAACAAGTCAAAGCATCCACAAATGGTTTGCCTGCCTTGGAAGCCTGAGGCCCAAAGGATCTTTCTTCCACCGCAGCTCGCAAAGTGGAAGCTTAGGAGGGGCTGCCCTTTGCAGGGCCTGTTTCTTTTCTCTTTGTTACAAATCTTAGCCCCACCCCTCCACCTCCCGAGTTCTCCCAGCCTCTGCTGCCCTACCCTTGTACTCCCGGTGCTGCCACTTCTTGAGCTGCGCCAGAACCTCGTGCTTCCTCGGGTGGTGCGCCAGCTTGGCCTCCAGGCTCACCACGTGGCTCAGGCGGTCCGCCCCCCGCACGTTGGGGTCCGACAGCGCCCGCGCGTGCCGCCGGAACGACAGCATCGACAGCACCTTGGTCCCGGCGACCTGAAACCTGAGGCCACAGCCATGCGTCAGGCCGGCGCCCGCACAACCTCATTTCCGGACGCAAATCGGCCGCACCAGGCCCAGGCGAGGCCGTGCGAGCCTGCGCGTCACGCTGCTGGAGCCGATTCAGAGCGGCCGGGCGCGGAAGAATGGTGCATGGAAGTGTCTGACAACATGGCAGTCCAGTGCCCTCTCCCTCTGTTTCCCTTTACAGGTTTCTTCGCGGCGCCTGTGTTCTGCGCTCCTCTCTGCGCGCCTGGGGCCTCCACACCATCATTTCCAAACCATGCCGCAGAGTCTCTCTCACACTCGGACACAAGAGCAGTTGCCCTCCGCGTTCAGCCTCCTCCGCGGCAAACCTCTACCTCACCCACCCCATCCCCCCGCCGCGCATTTTTGCTTCAAACGCCGCCCGATGTCCCCCCCAAAAAGAAAATCCCAAAAGCAGCAGACACGTGCTCACTTGTCCCTGCTCGCGCTCACTCGGTCGCGGGGCGGGACGTCCCTGGGCAGCGCCCTCTCCCGCTCCGCGCCGCCCCCGCCCGCCCCGCTTGCCGGCGCCCGCCTGCTCCTGCCCGTCATCTGCCTGTGCAGCTCCACGGGCCGCCGCGCGAACACCATCGACGTCACGTAGCTCAGCTTGCCCATAGTCGACTCTGTGGCCTCCTCATCCCCGCCATCGCGCCCCCCGCTGGTGGACGCCGCAGACTGCGCGCCATTGGCCGCCTCCAAATCATCCGCTTGCAAACCATTAACCTCCGGCATGGCTGCGCCACTGTCCCCGCGCCCGTCCCCGGCCGTCGATCCCGATGCCCGCGCGATGCCTCGAGGGCGCTCGTTGGCGATCGCGCCTCCCGGAATGCGGATGGGATGCCCGGCGCCCCTTGCGGCCCCGCCAAGCGCCTCTGCGCAGGTCGGGCGGCCTTGCCCGGTGCGCGTTGGGGGGGGGTGGGACGCGTCGACGGGCGGGGGGCCAATGGGGAGCCCCGGTGGCGCGGGAGAGACGGATCCGCCCCTCGGTCCAGGGTGGGGTTGTGCGACGGGGGCGCGAGGAGCAGGGAAGCGTCACGTGCGCGGTTGGTACTTTGCCCCTTACTGATGTCACACCGCCGGCAGCCCCCGGCCCCCGCGGGCGGATGCGTGGGTCGCTGCAGCGTCGCCGGCCGGTGACTGAAGCCAGAAGCGAACAACCGTGCGCCAAGACCTCTCGTGACTGGGCGGCAACGAGCCGAGAATATGTTTGCCCCTCTGTCTTTTCCGTGGCGATACATGGGATTAACTATCTTGTTAAGGGGTTTCCGCCCAGGGCGACGAGGGGCGGGCGCGCTGGCCCAGTCGGACCAGCGCTGCTTAAGTACGCCGGTTTTGACGGCCCCTTCGGGTTTCTGTCCCCCTGTACCTTGGGTCAGTGGCTAGTTCGGCGCGTTCAAGGAGGGCCAGTGGTTTTTGGCGCCCTTGGGAGCGGCGGGCTTTGGCGGGCGCGAGCGGGGAGGCTACTTAGGCTCACCCCTCGGTCCCCACCTTATCTTGTTTTGCTTCCCGCCCGGCCCCCCCTATGAGGGTGATGTTCGGTTGTTTGAGGCAAGTGTGGGAGTTAAGCACGATGGAATGAGGTGTGGTGGGTCTGACTCAAGGGTTGAGTCTGGTATGGGACTGGCTTAACTACTAGCGAAGCGATTGGGCACACAAGTTGTGGGTACCTCGGGTTGTATTGGGAAAAACAATGTCTTTGTAATGTATTGGTCCAGTGTGTGTGTGGACCTGGGCGGGACAAGGAGCCCGGTCCGGCGGAACTTGGTCTTCTGCGGACAAGGCCAACGCCGGTCAGTGGTTCAGGGTTTAGGGTGTCCGGAACAAGAAGGGATCTTCACGGAAAAGACGGAGCGACTAGTTGGGTGCCCACCACAACACTTTTTGCCACGCCGCTGGGGGAAAGGGCCGCGTTGAAACCCGTCACAGTCAAACCCGTTATAGTTCGTTTCTGTCCGTTCCCAGCGGGAGTTTGCGCCCCGCCCCGCTTGAGCGGGCGCCCACCGCCCGTCCAATGGACTTGGGCCTTGCTGATGTCCGCGGGGCGGCACGGTGCGTTTTGTAGCACGAGAGCAGGACGGTACGGCATTGTGCTGCGTTGGTGCTGGGGCGGCTTCTTCGCTCGTGTGGCAGTTTTCTGCTCTCTTCGGTCGTCAAATAACGAGCCGCCGGCCGTGTGCTTCGCTCCTGCGGCAGCTAGGCACGGGTGCTTTGGTGTTCAAGGACTTAGGGTAAGGACAAGTACGGGGCCGGCGAATTTACCCCCGATTTGAAGCATTTGGCAGGCACTGATCGATGCCTATGCTCCCCGTGCGCTGTAATGGGGAGCAGAAGAACCAAAACAGGATATGCAAAGTGCCGACAATAGGTAAGTGGAAATGATGTAAATACGAAATGCAAGTAAATATGCACGGCACTGCCGTGCTGGAATGTTCCCATCCGACCCAGCACGGTGCTTGTCCATAGCACTGCTGTTATTGCCGCTTGTTGAAGCTACCTTGCCCAATGGGGGCACCCCATACCTCATCTACGCAGAGATGCTTTTGACCTCTTGAGTGGGATGCCAGATCCCGCTACCACGGCAGTTGCGAAAAGGGAATCGTCAGAACGAGAAAGTCTTTCGGAACGGATGTATCGAGCCCGTACACGGATTGAGAACCAGATATTAAAGGTTGAACAGCATAAACCGAAATGGTAAGTGCTGCGAAATCCCGAAGGTTTGGAGACTGTTCTGGAATTGGTTGATGCACGCGGATTCAAGGCCTTCCTCCTCTGGACGGATGCAATTCAGTGATTAATAATGCGTTGATAAGTGCGGGTTGCAGCAGACACATCACAGGGTTCTCTATCACGTAGAAGTGACATTTGACAGGTGATGGCAATCACTATTATCGCGCTGACCGTTCGCGCTCGGTCCGCACTCGGTCGCTCCCAGGCACAGAAGCAAGACCGTAACCAGCTGCATTACAGGATGAGTGTGTCACTTAAGCTACTGTACCCGCGGAAGCATTCGTTCCATTTCCCCCTCATTTCCCCATGTACATGTCACCGTAACACCATCACCATATTCACCATTCCAGACTTCACATAATCACTTATTAATTGTTCTTTTGGCCTCACAACTATAATTGGCTGTTGATCACGTGTAGGGTAATATTGCCAGCAATGCTCTGGAGACACCCACTTCTTCATGTGGATGAGCCACTGCCATTGGAAAATGCAGTGCATCTCATTCAGTTTGTTGTGACTTGCACTGGGCCCCAGTCAATGGGCGTCAGCGCTCCAACGAATGCCTACTGTGCGAAGGCGCGCCAGCATCGTCCATCGAAGCGTGGCGCAGGGCACGGTCAATTTTGCACCAATTCTGGAAATCCCACTGCTCAAAAGCAGTGCCAATTCACCCAGAACGGCATGCGGGACCCCTGCGATCGGCCAACGTCAACCGTGCCTTGTGATCGGCATCACGAAATCAGCTAGATCCGCCATAAATGGGATGCACAGAGTTCTGATTTGAATCGGCTTACAGCCCGCAGATCATTGCCCACACTGCAGTACAGTCGCAGCTCCCATGCACAAGCTGACCTCCAAGATGAGCCGCACGGCGGTCGCCATGATATGATCCACCGTCAACCCCACCAGCCTCGTGCTGCCAGTTTTCATCCCCACAAAACCGCAGGCGCGAATCCCGGCACCGGGCCGACCGGCCATGCTGCCAAACAACCACTGTGGATTCGAACAAGCACATGCGCTCGGGGCCGTTGCGCAACATCGCCAGTTTGGTGCAAGGGCTTTTGCTTTGTCATGTGACAAATGTATTCCAAAAGGGATCAACGCCGCAATTCACGTGGTGCCATTCAGCTGCCAAATGGCAGGCGTCTTTATTTGGAGGCGGCATCTTGGGCACTACCTCGAGGAGACATTTGGCCTGGATCTGTGGCGCCGGATGGCCAAGATTTGCGACGCCGTGTAGGGGCAGCTGCGACGCAGCTGTTCGTCGATATGCGCAGCTGCTGCGGATCTCGAAGAGCAGATGGATTCGAGCGGGCGCTGAATAAGCGATTGGCGGTGAGTCCTAACAGTTGGGATGTACACAATGGTGTAGGCCGTCCAAAATCAATGAGGACAACGAGGGCTGGACAATCGCTGGCCTCCCCACCGAGCAGTAGGGGTACAGACTCTTTGGTGCAATTTCTTCCCCACTCATAGTTTGCTCACGTAGTCCATTGCCTGCTCATGCACAGCTGAGATAACCTGCGACAGATGGCCCTTTTTGATCGATATCAAGGCGCCTGGCAGTGAAGCATGTCCTCATTTGTAGTTGTATTCAATGTGAGCTACAAGTCGCCCACCAGCAACGGTGAATGAAACGGTGAAAACTTAACCGGAGGTCTCCCGCCCGGGGCGCTCTCAGCATCGGTTCAAACTTCTCCGTCATCCCGTCGCCTTTATCCACAGACTTGATGGCCGTGCCACAAGCCACATCTCTTATTTCCTTACATACACATAATACACATTGAGCCATTCGCCTTCGTTGTCAGCCCTATCTTATACAACCACGAGCCGCTGATCGAAGTGCCCAACACACTGATATGCTTCCGCCCCGCGTTATGCAAGTTGGAAGACCAAACATTCCCGTTGTGCCTTGACGAGCAACGCCCCAGCGGGCGACGTCGGAGAATCTGAGGACCGTGCACATGCCCCCCTGCATAGAGTGTTCCTCGTCCAGATTTGGATACTTTGACAAAAAATCCAACACACGTTCTACATATGCGAATTCCGAGTCGCCACAACCAACCCTGCCCCTCGTTCAATTGCCAGCGAGCAGCCATCTGCCCGCTTCCTGTGGGTTCGCATCTGCAGCATGGCGCAGGCTTGGTCACGCTTTGTCGGTGCGGCAGGAGCTGTTGCCGGAGGGGACCTCAGCATGCCGGCCAGTTCCTCTGGGGTGACGGTGCCATTAAGCAGAGCCGTGCAGATCTGCATGCCTTCGCTGCCGACAGGCTTGTCCGCGTCGAGCAGGTCCCAGACGCGGTGCACGCCGTGGGCGTACAGCTCCCCCGCCTCACCAGCTTCGTTGTATTTCTTGAATATTTGAGCTTCCGTCTCAAGGGCCACCTCGCCAGGATCCCCTGCCAAAGCGGCAGCGCGACCCGCTTCAGGGTTCCAAACACAATTAAACACTGATAGACTCAAACGCTCTAAAACATCGAAACAACGGCATTACAGGATGAAGCATTGACAAGGGCTGGTATTTCTGCAGTCTGACTTTGCAGTTCACGCGGAAACATGTGCGGGGGCTGGATGCATCGTTTGCCCCATCGGCGGGGTTTCTTCACTGATCTGAGTTTGTTGAAGCAACGCATACCTCATCCCTCAGTATCTTAGTTGTGCTCACTCCGTTTCGCGACCATTTCACGAGGGCAAGGCTCAGGCTTGCAGTGGCCGGCAGGCGGCGACCCTATCCGCATTTAAAAAGATGCATCCTTTGCTTTGGGCGAGGCGGTGAAGGAAGCTCGTGCTTGAATTCATTTTTCTGAGGTATGATTGAACACAGATTGAACGGCGATAAAAGAGTGGCTGTCGAGTGATGGAAGTGTGGCTGGAGAGTGATTGAGCAATCGCGTCTGCAATGCACACACCCTGGCCCCATGTGGGGGATGATCACTTGGGGTGTGGGCATGCTGGAGGTCTGACAGCGTGTCAAGCAGGCATGTTGCCTATGCATGCCGAGTAATCTCTTTCTTGCAGTACCTAGCCACAATAACGACAGCCAAGCACAAAGCGAGGGACGCACACCCGCTCCAATATAGCATAGGAGTTTTAGGTTGGTCAGTGACTATGGTGGCAGCCAGCTGCCTGTTTCAACTGGGGCGATGAAGGACAAGCACTGAAGCTCGTGTGGGGTTGGTCACTGCCTGCCATCTGGGCTGCAAGGGATTTTCGCTCACTGAGGTATGTGCTGCGGAGGGCGTTGTGAAGATGGTAGAGGGCTTCATGTCGAATTTTGTCGGGAAGCCTCACTTCGCTGCCATTCACCGTCACACAGGGCACAGAAGGGTGGCCTGCTGGGTGCGAAGCAGGCACACACGCTGTTAAACAGAGCAAAATGAGCTCAAGACAATCGAAAGTTGCTTCTTTGGCAGAAAAGAAAAGAATTCGTACAGTCGACAGCGCTCATCATCAGTCAACATTCTTGCCATATCATCTTGCATGCTGCTGATGCTGATGCCTCCTAGGGTGACAGCAATGACATGCAACTAAAATTGCCCCAAAACATGCGGCAGTCAGCAAAAAAATACAGTGCAGCCTGTCAGGCATGGACAGTGAAAAGTACTGAAGAAAGTTGCTGGTAGTTGGGGCGTTGTCTGCACAGCATTTTGCGGTCACATTGTGATTACTGTAGTCTCGCTTTCCACTTGGAGCCTGCTCATGGCACACATATGTGATGTGTGGAATGCTTTCTTTGTCGACAATGGCGATTGGCATGACAAGTCCATGCAGGCAAAGCGACGTACTCCATGTGCATTCTATCAGCCCATTGTGTGGGAATTTGCTGTGCCCAGTTGCCCTGTGCCCAATGGCAGAAGGTGAATGCATTCAAGGGATCATGCAGCAGAAGTGAAACACACTTGGGAAAGAAAGTTGCGAAGTGCATTGGGACAGAAACAGGGCGTCCCACGAAGCTTGCAACACTCGTGGAGCAGCCACAACAACAGCGAAATCTGCAGTCAGCATGCTGTATCTGTTCAAAGGCTGGCGAAGGCATGCCCCACCTGCATCGGTGCTATCCAGCTCCGCCATTGGAGCCCGCGCGCCTTTGGCGTCCTCACCACGAGGCCACCTCAGCATTTCCACCAGCCTTGCAGGATCGAAGTCCCCCGTCAAGAGGCTCCCCCGCACAAAGTCCCCTCCAGAGCAGCGTCGGTCCAGGACAGCCAGAACCTGGTTCACAGCAGATATGTAAACGCAACCCGGCCGTTCATCTTTGACGAAGCGTTCAAACACCATGCGCTCGATGTCTTTGGCCGTGTCCCCCAGGTCCCCTGGAGAAGGGAAACAAGGAGAAATTGGTCCTGTCCAACGGCCTGCCCACTCCACGTGCCCAACCTTCGTTCTAATTCCAGTTCCAATTCTCTCATGGGTGCACATGTGCCCACATGGATGGATGCAGCTGCATAGGTGGACAGGGATGCCTTCTTACCCGCACTGGTTCTACGCCAACAGCAGGCCAAGTTCAGGTGAGTGTGGGGGAGTGGGTTGGGAGGAAGGGGTGGGGGCCCTTGACTTACAGGATTCTGGTGCATAACCAACTACAGAGATGAATAGCAAAAGGTTACAACACTCATGCCCAGGCTGGACTGAACATTGTACATGCATGCAATTTCTTGGCTGGGAAGACCATTTGAGGCACACAAAACAGGTGCAAAGATGCCAATCGGATGCCCTTGTGCTGACGGCAAAGCTTCCACCACAAATTGGCCACAACTAGCAGCAACGCTTCGATGTGCACTTGCTGATCCATGTCGGCAACAGCACCACCTTTTTGTACAATCTGCTTTGTCCGCTTCAGACAGAGATTGCAACTTGCAACGACACGATTCCAACCAACCTCATCACCCTTTACAGAAGCCAAAAGAATTGCATGATGGCTTGGAAGACTATGTTTGCCAAGCAGACAGCTGCTGATATGCTAGGCAAGGGGCAATGCCAGGACATAAGAGCACACTGCGGCGACACTTTACATCGCTACAGTGCACTTTCATTTCAAGATTCCGTGACTTGTGCCAGCAAATACAAAATATTTGGTTTTATTATCTGCTTTTAATGCAAATTACACAGTGTTGGTTTGATAAGCAGACTGCATGGAAAATCGGCAATGGGAATATGCTATGTCCCCATCCTAGCCAGCAGGTCTGCAAAGTAGGTTGCCACCTTGGAACCCATCCTGCTGAAAGCTTTACAGAGACTGTTAATGCGCTGCTAAAGTTCTGAGGATGTTACCAAGGCGACAGCCTGCAAACAGAAAGAACTGTGGTGAACCATTTCTATAGGAAAGACCAAGGGATGCATAATCGTTCATGGATATGCACTTACTTGGGTATCTCTCACGGAGTGCAAACCTGATGAGGCACAGTCCCTTGTGGCGCACAGCATCCTCCAACCGAACATTGCTGCCATTGACGCACACATCTTCCCACTGCCCAGGATCGGGACACAGGTCAAGTGCGGCAGGCTGATGGCAGCCAACCACCTCAGGTTCAGAGGAGTTGATGGGCAACGAATGTTTTGGTGAGGCCAGCTCCAGCAAAGCGGACTCTGCAGCAGCCCCTGGAAGTAGCATTCCAACAATGGCCTTCAACACATTATAAGTGGCCAATCGATTCCAGCTTGTGCATCGCCTCTTTGGTGGCTGAACGAAGTTTGGTTGACACTGATTTCAACATTGCTTTTGGAGTTTCACCTTGTTTCTTCAGCCACTGTCTGTGCGCATTGCAGACAGGCAGACAGGAGTTGAGCTATCGCATGAGGAAAAGAGAAACGTTCTCGATGTCTACATGCTCATGATCGTCTACAAAGTGCAAGGCCCCTGCTTTGGTTTTCGGGTGCACAATTCAACAAAGAAATTGGCAGCCAATGGCATCGCCGAGTGGGTGCAAGAACAGTGCTCCGCCACATCATTATGAATGTAAACATTGCAAATTTACACAACAGCTTGACTCACACTGGACAACACCAGCTGCGCCACCTCACTGCTTGCAGTGTGCATGCCAATCAGCATCACAGTGAATTCGCAAGTTAAGCTCAAAGCTCATACTTTAGCTTGCAATGCATGCATTAAATAAACAGAAGATGATAAAATCGCCGCCCTTGGAATCTGTAACCCAATGCTGGAATGGAATGTCAGACAGAACGCAGGCAAACCGATGCAGTGCCCACGGAGAAAAAGGAAAGAAAAAGGTGATTGTTCAGGGTAGGGATAATTGCCCCAGGGACAATTGCCCCACAGAGTGCAATTCTTAGCTGTCATACCAGCAGCTGGCAAGCAACATGGTCTCTCAACACCCTGTTGGAGGCAGCTGCTGTCACCAAAAGCAGAAATCTGCAAACAACATAGTATTGTGGATCGAACGAGCACAGCAGCACATCCTGTAGCCCTTCAACGAACTGTGGGCTTTTCAACAAAAGGTGACATGCCTCCATGGGTTCAAGCAGCTCTTATTTTCAGTGCCAAGAGGCATGACTTTACCATTGACAACACTCTCTGCAATGGGAACTTGGTCAATGTATGGACTGCAATGATGGCACTTTGTTCCACTGTATCACAGATGCAGCAAAACAGCTGATGCTCCGCTTGTGGACTCAGCCAGCACCTGAAGATGTGGATGGTTGTGCTTTATTAACCTTGTTGTCACCCTCCAGATGCTGGCACTCAACGTTTCCCCCATGCTCATTCTCTGCTCCAGGAGCATGCTTGTCTTGTCCATCACATTCCACACATCGCTGAGGTGGTTTGCTGTCCTGAGTGTCCTTGCCAGGTTCTGGTGCGGTGTGGATGAATTTGTCGAGCCCTCCGGGCCACCCTGAAGTGTCATTTCCATTGGTACCAGCCCCACTGCGTGGCCCTACATGAACAGAACTCACGATCATGAGGCTCACCTGCGAAGTACGCAATATCGTTTCGTCCCAACCCATTCAACACAGAATTTAACACCAAAGAGTTGGACAGCAGCACAGTATAGGTGGCAACATGTGTTAATACACTGTCACAACCAGCACACGTGTTAAATTTGCAAACATCGTTTCCTTGCGTTGCGATCAAGATGCACTGAGGTTGTTGTTGAGAGGTCATAATTATTGGATCTTGCTGCAATGTTCACCCGTAACCGTGTAATCAATTAGGAACATTTGTCTGCATGCTCTGTGAGTTGTCACAGTGAAGGTGGAAGCCATTGACAGATGGACTGCCACCTATTGCACAAGCGAAATTGCTTGCTCAAGAACTGATGCAGCATTCAAACATACACGATAGAGCAGACAGGGGGTGAGTGTGCCTGGTTGCTGTGACCTGAAACAGCACAAAGGGTTGATGCGGTCTGTTTGCTTCCAGTGGCCAGTGATCGATGCAATCAGAAACACACCAAGAAATGAGCAATCGCTACCTTATCCCAGACACGTAAACACCAACATCATTCAGTGGTTATGCCTGTGGTTTCGGTTGTTTGCAAGAGAAGTGCATATCCATTTCTGGAGAGTCCCTACCACAACCATTTCTGCACGTGTAGACACTGTGTCAGAAAATTACGTGGGAGCGAATGTGTCTCCCTTTTTGAAATACAATGTTGAAATGCACCAAGATGAATGGTAGAATCTGGTTGTGGCCCACCCTGACGAGAACTGCTGAGCATCTCAGCCGCGTTAGCAGTTTTAATGCTCAAAATGTCTTGAACACATTGGCTAGTTTTGTTTGCAACAGCTGGACTACAGGCAAGTCTGACAATAGGAAGTAGTGGGAGGCAAATCGGGGGCGATCGACCCAATGGATTGGTAACTGGATTGACAATTCATATCGGCACTGCCGCATGAGTTTCACCAGTTGCATCACAATCCAACTTCCAACATCCTTTAATTACTGACCTTCGCCGTCCGCTGCATCCAACACCCCTTTGCCACTGCTGCCAACCTGCATTTGGAATGGCGATATCGGCACCTCCCTTGTGGCCACCGGCACATCACTGCCAGTTGGGGCAGGGGGGCCGTCCCCATCAGCCACCGCATTCTCGCCTGATCCCTGCCGACACTGCGGAGAAAGTGAGCTTTCACTTCAGCCAGGGGCCAATCACAAGCTCAGAGGAAGCGTGTCCTTTGAGCAGCTGCAGACAGCTGCTGCTGGCGACGCAACGATGGAAGGCATTATTGTGTCCACACACACCATTGCGACCCGCATGGCAGCTTTCTCTGGGAATCAAAGTTCACAATGCCAGACACACAACTCTGCTCGGTCAATCCCTGCAATGGATGTGGAACCCAGCATCTAATCCTGGACCGAATCCATCGGCTTACTCCCGGGCCGTTATTCGTTCCCGGCAGGCGGGCGCTTCAGTTCCGAGCCGAACGCAATTCACCCTGCCGCGCATCATCATATGCATCGCCGCGCATTCCCTCGCTGCGCCCAGGGGCTCACCTTTGACGCCGGCCCGCCCTCCTGACCGCTGCCATCAGCGCCCGCCGGTGCGCGAACGGACGGCCCAGCTACGCGCCCCTCCTCCTCCCCTCCCCCCCTGCGCGCCTGACGACCAAGCCACTCCTTCTCAGCGCCCATCACACCACACAGACACCCATAAAACATAGAGATTCTCGGCGCCCATACCGCTACAAGTTAGTAAGTCGCCCCAAAATCGCCGACGGGCCGATGCAGGCAGTCCCCAGGCCACGCCACCCTGGAGATTGGCGAGATTCAATCGCTGCCCACCCACCCGCTTGCCCCCCTCCTCCTCGCCCTCCCGATCGGCGTCATCCAGCCGGCGCGACGGCCTGCGCTGCCGCGCGGATCGCCGCAGCGGCCGCTCCGGCCTGGCCGACAGATCGCCGGCGGGCGGCCGGGGCTCCCCACCCGAGGACCTCCGCCTGCCGGGCCGCGGCATGGCGGGAGGCGCCCCGCCGCGCCGCCGCGCGGGCAGCGCCGCGATGCTGGCGCGCGTCCCGGCGCTGGCCCTGGTCGCCGGGGTCAAACCCGGGGCTGGGGTGGGCGGCTACGGTTCCAACGCCCGGCGCCTGCGATTCTTGTGCCGGGAGCCCACAACATCCCATCGTGTACGATTCTCGGCAATCATAACACGATTCTGATCCGTAGTGTACGATCCCCCCACAGGCGGTGCGCCACACTGGCCGGCTCGCGGGTAGCTGGCCGCCCAGCTCTGCGGCCTTGCGCAGTGGCGCCCCGGCGTGTAGTGCGGGCGACGTGCGATTCTGAAATGTGCGATTCTGAGCCTATGAGCCGACACGAACTTCTCTGACCCATCACGTACGATTCTGGCCCGCGGTCGAGTCGCTGACTACGTTGGCGCGTTGGTGGGTGGTGTGGGGGACGTACCGTTGTAACCAGAACTGATCGAGTATTATTGACAGCGGGACGCATGCAGAGGAGGTGAGACATTAGGAACTGTATTATGAACGGACTGGATACAAGGGACAGGATTCCTGTTGTCCCTTTGCTCGGCTGTAACCGCTGCAGTGTGCTCGAGGCCACGATCCCCAGTAAGGAGTCTCCACCCCTCGACCCGGCATGAAATTAGTCGCTCTGTCTTTTCCGTGAAGATCCCTTCGAAACAAGTTGTTTCGTCACCCTAAACACGAAACAACTACGGGCCCACGTTGGCCTTGTCAGCGGAAGAAGAAGGGCTCCTCACGGAAGAGTCAGAGGGACTAACCTATTCTCTCTTGACCCTGCCTGCCTCGTCAGTACGATTCTTAAATGTGCAATTCACAGATCCTGAGTCATCATGTACGATTCTGACCCACCGCGTACGATTCCGGCCGGCTCTCGGATGGGCGATTGCCGAGTGTCGCCCAACGGGGTCTCGTTGCTTGGCGCGTGCGCCTCGTGCAGTTGCCCCGCCATGTTGCCCGCCGCGCGGCGGGTGCCCTCGTGCGCCGCGCCGATCCGACTCGCCGTCCGGCGCGGCTGCGGGGCGTCGCTGGCCGATCGCGCTCCCGGGCGTGCGTCGGAATCCCGGCTTCCGCGACGAATTGCCGTGAGTTGCCGGCCGAAGGAGGGGCGGCCGGAGGAGGGGGGCGAGGCGGAGGAGGTGGGGCGCCGATGCCGCGATGGCTGCGGGGAGGGGTGGGCGGGGCGTTGGGGGAATGGGGGGAAAGGAGAGGATGAGCCCAGACGACCAGGCCGAGGGCATCTTGCCGAATGCTGTTTTGATTGTGGTTGTGGTAAGGAAGAAAGATGCCCCGCGCATCTATGATGCGATTGGGGAACTTTTGGCCTGCGAGGCGTTCCTTTCCCAGAATGCGCTTGAATGTCTCACACCGGCCTGTTCGGGATGCGTGCCGACAACTGGCAAGAAATTGCAGGCGCGCGGCGTCGCGCGCGCGAACGCAGGGCCGTCGATGCTCAGCGTGAAACAGACTTCTGCGCTGGATCTTCCGGTATTGGCGATGATGCCGCGGTTTGGGGCATTGGTGGCGCTTGGCTGCCAGCAATGCCGCACCGCGTGGCACCCGATGCTGACTACGATCTGTGCTGATGGTGCGGAGTTCGCTGTGTGCTTACCTCTCTCCCATACTTGCATTGACTGCCAAAACTGTTCCGAACATCAGTTCGGAAGACAGAACTTGGGGCTCGTCTAGGGGAGCCCCGCTGCGTGCATCGTGGTGCCAGCGTGGCCTCTGTGCTCGCGTGACAATTCTGCACTCCGCTTGACAGGAATGGGAAGGACTGGCGGAAGAGGATGACTGGGTGGTAAGTGTGGGCTGTACTTGGTGTCTGCATAGCGCAGGGTGCCGGTGAGCCTTTGTCTAGAATCATTGAAATTTGCTGTGTACTGCTTCGTGTCACTAATCATAGGAGCCAGGGCATCACAGGATGTGTAAACACCTGCACGTCCAACTTACTGCAAAGCGAATGGCAGCTGGACCTCGTTGCCGTGAATGTTGCACAACCGTCAGAGGGCTCGCTGTTGGCAGCAGCCACATTTCCAATTGTTTTGTGCTCAGTGACTGGGATCTGTCCAGGAGGCCAAAGCTGTGATCAGATCACAACCTTGATGTGCCATGCATTTGAGGATCTGTTGCAGGATGATGTTCTTAGCTGTGGCTCATTCTCAAATTCTCTGCATCTTTGCCTAGGATGACAGTTGGTGGTCGTGTGCTTGGTTCCTGTGACAGGTCCAGGGAGGATCCAAAGACAGCCTGTCTTCCAACACTGACTTAGGCCAAGCTGTGAGGTCTGCTGTTGAGGAGCTGGAAGTCCTTGGCAATTTGGTGCGCAAATGCCATTCTGTGTTCACGCCACTGGTTGCATGGTGTACACCTGGATGAGCAATTCTGCATATGGTCAACAAGCACGCTCTCTTGGGTTGTTGGTGCAACACCCCAAGAGTGACAGTAACGACTCATGGGAATGCGATTTCCTAAATACTTCTGAAGTACATTTGAGCGCACCAGCAAAGCCTTTTGCAGGTCGTTTGTGCTCTTTAAAATGAATCGTCCTGAAATCACTTGTCTGTTCCAAACACTGTGATACACAAAGGCCGCTGCTCCGTGGTGGGCCAAACCACACTCGTGCTGTAGAAATTCCTGCAGCCAGGCGCATCAGAGTGTCAGTCGTGACATTAAATGCAGCTTTGCAGCCACTGAGCTGGCAGTGGTGTGCACTGCAGGCTTCCAATGCTCGATTCTCAGTCGCTCACAGCGCCCTCGGGCAGATATGCTACATCGACTGCCCATTCCAAAACTGCTTTGCTTGCAATGGTCGAAATAATATCAAGCAGCAGCACCTATTGCAGCCTATTAGGATGGCAGGCTGTCATGGGTTGCCGTTTGTTGCTGGATGTTGATTCTGTGTATTGCTGCCTTTTTTGATTAATGCAAGGGCATCGGCATTCGAAAACCATAACACTGGCCCTTGTGTACTTGAGGAAAATCAAGAAAAGATGAAACGCCAGTGCAGGAAGGGAAAATTGCCATGCATGCAACTGAGCACTGCAGCTGCCGTGATTGTGAGTACTACGCTGATTCCGTGCTGTCGAAATTGGTGAATCACTGCCGTTAAACGTTATCACTATCAACGTGACTGTAGCTGTCATTCCCATCAATGGGGCAGCCTAGTTTGACATACGGCAGTTGTTTGTTCTTGGCTAGGAGAGAGAGGTTCTGGGCGAGGCGCAGGCACTGCTGGAGAAACTCGGGTATAAGGGCAGCATCGGCGTGGAAAAAACGAAGCAAGAGGACACCAAGTGACACGGCACAAATTCTAGATCTCCTTTCTTCCTCGCAGAGGCAGCAGGCCTGGATACCGGCCCGTATCTTGGCCCACGCTACGTTGATGTCGCCAGAAATGTACCGGGCATTCTTGAAAATTTTGATGATGGATTCTGTGGTGGTCGGTAGTGAAGGCGCGCACGAGCTCGGCGTGGCGCGATGGCCGACTCTCGTTGAGCACATCCTCTCAGCACCAAACACTGCCATTGCGCGTGGGTCCTCCGAGCCATGGTCTTGCTCATGCACAAGCCGTCAATCGGCGGAGATCGGGAAAGGTGTCGGAGCCACGAAAGCCGGGAGCAGTCCCGGGCCTGACTTCGGGGACAAAGACACATACAAAGCTGACACTGCGTGCGCCCAGGCCCGGGCAACAGGATGAACTTGTCGACGGCCGCAGTCTTGCACAGAATGGAAGGATGACGCCCGCATGTCGCAGGCAGCAACCACGAAACTGGGGCCTTGTGAATGAGTGCCGTACCTTTGTGGTCGGAGGCAACATCAGGATTGGTAGAGTCGTTGTGGAAAGGAAGCAGAAGAGTGTCAGTTGCACGGTTAAACGGGAAGCAGATTGAGAAGCCCATTTCGAGGCACAAAGCAAACAGGTTGAAAATGAGCTGGTGCGCGCTTTGGCCGACACATCGCCAAGGCTGGCTCTTGCGTCCCCACCACAACCTCATTTTGCACCGAGCGGACACGGCTGCATGCCGCTTGCTATGAACAAATCCACTGGGCCGAACAGAATTCCGCGCAAAATAGAAACAAGGTACACATTTACAGCAAAAATACAGAATGTTCCGTCATGCGAATGATCTCACAAGTCACGCCATAATGAGTCCACACGTCTCAAAAAAGATCAGGTACGATCGATATATGGCCGGATAGGGCTCCTGAGGTAATCCTTCTGTGCTCACCACTTCGCACCGTAATCACCGACTCAGGAACTCCCGAGGGCTATCACCAGGCCTTCTCTGTTAGGAAGGTCTTCCACCTAGATACGCATGGCCGCCGTTTCAATGTTGATTCGATTCGATTGCACATTGAACAGGATCTCTCGCGCTGAAGCGGCATTGATTCGTTTCAGAGGCCCGAAGAACGGTGTGAAGAAACGCAGCGGAAGGAATGACAGCGTTGGCAATTTCTTATACTACGATTTTGGCAAATTCTTTTCGCTGTGTCACCAAATTCGATTGTAGAAAGGATCGTCATCAAAAATATCTGCTTGAATGGTAGTCTGATTTAAGTCTGGCCGGTTATCTGAGAGACAGATAATCGCGCACCTGCGGCCGCGGAGGCGTCCTGAGTGCTACAAGGGAAAAAAAAAAAAAAAAACGACGGCCACATCGCGCCAACAATTCCCACTTTTGTTGGTTGGTACTTCAGGATCGCGTCTTCAGCGAATGTTTTGCATTAGAGGCTAAATGACCTCAACAGCGCCCCTCAGATGGCCCAGTAATGGAGCCAAAAAACATTGGGCCAACAATACTCCATGTCTCCAGCCACCCCTCCACATTTTGGAAGCGGTGCTGGGACCAAAACGACACACCGGAAAACAAGACTAAAATGGGGCGCATGCGTCTGGACCCTGGACGACGACAAGTACGGAAGCGCCGGCGCAGGCAGACGGAAAGTGAGCGGCGTGCACCTTTGTGCCAAAGGCGGCACTCAATTCCTTCATTTTCGAACACACCCAGTCCTTGTCCTTGCCTTTGGCCCTGCTGACCTGTGAGGAGGCATACCAGGCATCAATCCCCTCGGATTGCATGTGCCTTTGAAGCGCAAGCAGTGCACCCAAAATGCCTGCCAGTTTATACCGAGAAAGTAAAAGCATCTGTAGGCAAGGAGGCACCTTCTTTTCGCTAGATGTGCAAGACTGGGCGGGCAACCATGGTCCAGGACCAAGCACTCATGCCACATTCATCCCGTGCGAATTGGCCCCGAAGTACAAGACTTCGAAACAAACAAAGTTCCGACTTGGCCCTGCTGAAATGGATCGAGATTCTCGCCTTGGAAATATACGGTGGGTCATCTCCGGGGCGCTGCCAGGTGTGTGTTCTCTTGCTTGGAAGTAGCTCCAACCTGGGCAGCTGCAAATGTCTCAACCCGTGGGGCACCATAAAGGGCCGAAGCCCCTCGGAGACAGTTCACTCTCTTTCGAGTTCGCTCGTACCCTATACCAATCCCTTCGAGGCGGCGGACATGCAAAAGCACCTGAGTTTCGTGTGGTGAATTCTGCACAGATGTGGGGAACAGAAAAAGCAGGGGACAGCCGAACGGCAATGTTCAGCCCTTACAGTCAGACAACAGGCAATCTAAGGTAACCGCAGCCGAATACTGGCAAACATGTACACTGTACATTGTACAGGCAATTGGATTGAGACAGCCATCTCCAGCCATCTGCTGTGCACTAGCCTTTCGGGATACACAAACAAGATCGCTTGTTTCGCCAGAAGGGCAACGCCCCGCCAAGCTTCTGCTCTTTTGTCACTTGCAGACACCAGCGACTGGCCAAAGCTCGCGTTCACAGGCACCTGTTTGCAAGTGGTCACGATGAATTGGGAGCACACACACCTGTCCAGCAAATTGTCGACAATCTTTACGCGATACAGGAAGCCCAAGTCATTTCGGTACTGGTCATCCGTGGCGTAGTCGTCGATGAAGCCGCCAGCGCCGTACATAATGGGGTGGCCCTTGTAAACCTCGACGCCCTGCTTTCGTTCAGGCAGCTGGCTCAGCATCCGCCGTCTTCAGCATGGCAATACGACTGTCCACTGACTTCCGGATTTCCAGCAGGGAGGGAGCATGTCATACTGAAGGAATTCCATAAAGGGGTCTTTGGAAGACACCTTTCAATATTTACTCAGCGCAGAAGACGCAACACAGAACCATCTGAGCGCAGGATGATAAGCACGCAGCACAGCTGCCATGGACGACAGTTGTGAGCGTTCGCAACATGGAAAGAAAAAGGCCCTCACAGATGGGATCCAAACCTGAGCATGGTTTGCGGGCCATTGCTAACATCCTGGTTGCTGTTGCACACAGCGGGAGCCTCTTCATGTGGCTCTTCTTGGCCCACTTTCTTGGCCTTTTTGTGCCGCGCACGCTTTCTATGTGTGCTTGGAAAGAGCATCCTGCCAGAGGATTCGAGGATGCCTCAACGTTGTTTGCAGTGTTGAATGGCTTTGATAATTCTTATGTCAGTGACGGGGCACGTGATCATCGCGCTGGTAAAGGGATGTTTCCAACGCCTCAGCCCACACCCGACCTCTGCTAAAGTGGGCAGCCTTGTGCTGCCTGTACTCTCTTGCTCTCAACGTGAGCCCCAGACGTTGCGCTGGGAATATCCCCTCCCCACACCCCTTGTCCTTACCGTCATACAACTAATGATATAGTTTCCACGAAGTACTATTGTCTCTCGCCTAAATCCCCAAATAACTACCATCCTGAGACCCGCTCCCAAATTTCCTGTTGATCTCTTACATCGCCGCACACCGTCTCGCCTTCCACTGGCAGAATCGTGGTACCTAAGCATTGACCTGCAAAGCAAGAACTTGGAACGAAAACAGCAACTGACCTGTACGTGATGAGCGCTGTGGCCAAACACAACATCAGCATCATTGTCGATGAAAGCGTGGCCCAGGGCAACGATTTCGTCGCTTGGCTGCCACTGCCAGTTGGGCCCCCAATGAACAAACACCACGATGATGTCAGCATTTGAGCGCGCATGAGAGAAGAGGATCTTCAGCTGGCTGGCGTCATACTCTTGAGGGTCGATGAAATTAATTCCTGGCTCCTGAAGAAACACACATTCCTTCAGAGCCTTGGGAGCTTTGTGCGCGATTCAGGCACGTCCTAGGGACTGTGTGGATGCTAAATTCCCGCGTCTGCATTGGGTGTGCTCTCTGCTTCACCATGTGGCTGCACAAGGTGTAAAAGCGAAGCCACATCGCAACAAACTGATGCAAAAGTTGGCCTGAATGTGGCCATGCCATGGGCAGCTTTGCTGGGCAAGGCCAACACGGGATGTTCAACTTGAACTTATGTTCCGCTGCTAAAGAGTCGAGAAATGCCTGTCGACAACCAAGGCACATAACCCAAGCATGTCTGCCAACAGCCACCTGCTGCAAGTCCCTGTGAGTGCACGTCTGAGTGCTGCAGTGGAATCGTCCCTCTTCATTCCTTGATTTAAGGCCCATGCCGGCCCATTCCAACACCCATGAACAGCTGGTACGTGAAGAAGAGACAACAGCACACCCTCCGCGGTCTCGTTCAACTCAACTCAAGTGAACTCTGAAGGAAATGGGAAAAATGAAAATTATATTATCCATTTGTAAGATTTCCAGCCTTAACCCAGTCTTTGTGCCAGTGCACTGCGGCACTGAATCAATGGCCCCACCCCTCCACAATCAATCCAGTGTGGAGACAGACTACCTATTAAGACGTTGCCTTCAGCTCAACACCTCGTCAGGAACCCGCAGTCAATCGGCTGGCAAGGCAAACCCCACAATGGTTGAGTTGCTCCTTTTCAAAAGCACTTTGTCTGTTTGCCAGCTCTTGCAGATTTTGTCAATGGTTCATTCTCCACATGCCGCATCGCATTCCAGACTGCAGGTGCCACGCTTCTGTGGGATGAATAGATAAGGGTCTTGTGCCACCAAGCTGGAAACTTTGCAGCAATGCAACAGCCCCAGACAGCTTCACAGCACGATGCACACATGGTAAGCATATGCCTATCTTTCTTGTGTCATGGGTCAAGTGCTGTGCGTGCCTTGTCAGTTGCTGCCCAGTAGTCGTAGTGATCTGAGAAGGAGAAGAAAGCAAGCCTACAGCCGGGCTTTTGCACAAAGGCGGGTGCCTGAGCCTCCAACAAGTCACCTGCCCCCGAAAAGCTGATCCCATTGGCTTTGAGAACATTTATGGACTCTCTGAGGCCCGGAACGCCGTAGTCAAGAATGTGGTTGTTGGCAAGGGACACGTACTCAATTGACGCCTCCCTGTGACCAAGCACCACCACATCAAGATGGCATAGTGGCAGGCAACAAGAAAATGGCGAAAAACCATGGCATAGTTAAATTGAAAATAAATAAAACAAAATAAAACAGGGCAGCTGGTGAAATGAGTTTGGGAGAACAACGCGCGAGTCAGACAGACGCAATCAGAGCACGACAACAGTGACTGGTGCAGTGCACATCGGCACAGCAAAGCAGAGGTGCAGTTGCACTTTCATTCGTGCTGTTAGTGCACAGCAGAGTCGATTCATGCCCAGGTGAAGTTTGTGCTCTCTGCATGGTATGAGAAGGAATTCACAGCATGTGGTTCCTTGATCCCACCCTGCACACCATATTGGTGGCTGCCTGACCTCGACTGTTGTCATTCCACAAACACCTTGCCGACAAGTGACAAAGCAGCGTACATGCATGTCAAGCAATGATGGGCATTATACCATCCATGGAATTTGTTCCAGAATAGTTGTTTCCTTGTCTCACTAAGAAGACGATGAATTCTCCAACAAGGTAAAGGTCCACGTTTGTTAGTCATGGCTGCAACAGATCATCATGATGCAGCCCCTCCTCCCCCTCCTTGTCTGAGTGCATGTTGTGTTGCTGCCCAATTTGTTTTGTATCCACCCTGCCTTTTGAGACTTCCACAAAGTCCTCCACAGTATGGGACAGAGCGTCACCATGTTCTAGATGAGAGCGCTGCTTGTTGTAGGCACATTTCTCTTTCTTGTCACGATGAATCCTTTCAGAGCGGGTAAATCCGTTGTGGCTGCCAATCTGTGACTGCTCTTACTGTAGCCAAAGGAAGGTAATGCCAGCATCGGTACCTGAGGACGCCCACGTTGCTCGGGGACAGCTTGAAATTGAATGTCTTCGGGAACTTCTCGTCGTGGTCCGTAACTAACAAAACAAACACCAAAGTACTAGCCTCGTGAAATCTTGCCCCAGTTTTGCACCTTCTGCGCCATGACCGTCATGCAGGTGCAATGGCAGTGCTGTGCTATGCTGTGCTGTGCTGTGCCAAGCTCTTGACAAGAGCAACGGAATAAGTGTTTCACACTTCTGCACATTGACCGCCATCAGCTTGTTGGTGCTCTGTCAGACGCTTGACAATGTGAACACATCAGCGGTCCACACTTGCAAATGCTGGCGCACGAATGGCCCCTGCTGAAGTTTCGGCCTTCGGCAATGTGCTCCGGCCTTCGAACCGACGCAGGGCCGCTGCACACACGGGGGCCACGCCCGCCTCACCAGCGCACTCGAGGTTCCCCGCCACGACCTGCCGTGGGGCCACCGATCCGCGCAGGAGCGGCAGAAAGTCGCCCCACACCTGCCTTCCACCGCGCTTGGTGAGTGCGTCATTCACGATGCGCCCCAGCATGAGGTCGCCCAGCAGGACCAGAGACACTCCCCTGTTCATGACGGCCCTGACGCCAGGCCACCCCACCGATGGTGCGAGCTGCCGGATGACGGAATAGGGCATCGCGACAAGAGGGCGGGAAACTCGGAGATGGGACATGTTTGAAGCCCCCGGGGAGCTCCTTTGTTCGCATCATGGTGTAATACTGCACAATATTAAACCCCTCCGCATAATAACGTAACGCTTGGGCTTTTTCTGCGGAGAAAATATTATGAATGGTAACGCAAATCTTGGCATTTCTGTGCGGGGCAACGTAACAAAAAATGGAAGTAGCGCTCTGAAAAGCAAAATGCAGAGCAAAACGCGAAAAGGTGAATTTTTCTGATGCGGAAGGGTTGAATATTTTACAGTACAGTCGGAATTCAAAAACAAACTATTCGAGGCCGCCGAATGGTATCGAATCTGATGCTAATGCGCAAACAAACGGCAGAGGAATTTTACGCTTCAGGTCTTGGTGCTGCGAGGTGGGAGAGTTTTTAATTCTTTCAACTTTAAACTCAATTGGGTCGAGATACCCAACGCGAGGATATTTTGTTGTTGGGTTCACGTTTTCACAAGCTGGTGGCACTTTAACTGCGACTTGTTGTAGACACCAGTGTAATGTGCTGTGTGGCTGAATAACTGCCCATGGAAAATGCGATCGCCGATTTGCTCTGCGTCTTCTCCTTGGTTCTCCACTATCTGACCACTATGCTGCCATTGTAAGGGAAGAGACTATGTCGATTTTGGTACGCTTAGCGTCCATTTGACGTTAAGCTCAGCTCCCCACCCCAAAGAAAATTTATTTAAATTAATATTGTCTTTTGTAACAAGTCTTACCCCCCCTCCAAAAACAATGTATGCTGGACTTGTAAAGGGATGTACAGGGTCGTCCGGGGTTGCCAGGAGCTTTTCCTTTGGGATGTTGTCGGGTGTTGAATATCAGGTGGCTGGGGCTTGGGTGTATGGGCAGGCCCTTGTTGGCATTACACTTGACATTCCGCACATTCTCCACCTTTCATACGGGCCCCCCAATTTACGATTTTGTGGCAATAACATAATCCCTTAGCGTCAAAGGCCTGGACTTACCCACCCACCCACCAACCCCACCACTTGGTGTCAATTTGACGCAAAGTATACCAAAATCGGCGCAGTGTCTTCCCCATGCTCTTTCTGATTGCAAACTTTGTAAAAGCTGGGGGTGTGGAATGTTGTTCGTGTCAGTTTCAATTTGTTAATCAAATCACCCTTACTTTCATTCGATGGCGATCTTCTGAAAACCCCACACAAACATGCTAACGAGTAGAATGGCGTGAACATAACACAACGTTTAAGGCGCAGCTGCCGTTTGAATGGACGTCACCGAGAAAACAAGAATGGGATAAAAGGGCAAGTATAACGAGGCTGTGGACTGGATTTGGTTGATGCTAAATTTAGCAAAGTGTTGTTTAAACAACACTTTTCTGGTACGGTTTGTGTAAGTAGAGGGTGCACTGTCCACTTTAGGCAAGCAGTTTAGTGTGGCCACTGTAACCCTCAGTGCTGAGTACGCTCATTGCTGAAGGCCGACTGAGTAGTGTACCTCATCTGGCCATCACCGCTCAACCAAGCCACGTGCATGAGCTTGATCGGGTCCTTCCAGTCTCGAAAATGGCTAACTTTTAAATGAACATGAAAAATCGATTTTACAGATTATCTGTGGAAAGTTAAAATGGTAGAAACTTGTGGTTTAAAGAACATCCTGTGGCAGAGCGACTTGCCCAAAACATCCACGCCAGACTGCACCGACACTTTGACCGCATCGCTGCTCATTACCGAGACCACCGCGCCAGGCACCTTGCGACTTCGGCAAAAGCCCCACACTGCAGCAAGCATCGCACCGTCAATGGGACGCCGAACCTGGCCGCAGGTTCCGCACTGATTCTCTTCCTTCCACGGGCGGGGAAGCGCACGTTTGGCCCATCTAAAAAGCCCGACATTGCAGCAAGCATCACACTTTCGGCCCGTCCACAACCCCCACTCCCCCCCACCCACCCACTCACCATTGCCCAAGGCCCCGCTGGGCGTCGCTCCGATTCCGCCGCCCTGCCTCCACTCGCCTCCAAGATGGCAAGCAGAGTCTCCTCTTCCCAAGCGCGCGGCGCGCCCACCATCCCGGACGCCTTCCTCCGCACCCCCCGGGCCTCCCCCGCCCGCCCGGGCCCCCGGCCCCCCCGCGCCGCCCCCCACGATTCCATGTCCCTGTTTGAGCTGCAGGCGGAGCTGGACGTCGCCATCCGGTCCGAGGACTACGCCGTGGCGGCGCGCCTGCGGGACGCGATCCAGGACCGCGAGCTGGACTCGCGGCTGTCGGTCGAAGACGCAAACGCGAGGTTCTACCGGGCGTTCCAGTCGGGTCGCCTGGCCGACATGCGAAGAATCTGGGGCGTGGGGAACCACGTCCAGTGCGTGCACCCCGGCGGGGAGGCAGTGGCGGGGCATGATCTCGTGATGGAGAGCTGGGGCATGGTGCTGTCCGGGATCAGTGCGGGCAGCTTCAGCATCCGGCTGGAGGACGTGCGCGTGGTGGCGGGGGACAGCTGGGGGTACGTCACCTGCGTGGAGGTGGTGGGGTCGGGCGGGGAGGAGGGGCGGCTGGTGGCCACCAACGTGTTCGAGGTGCAGGAGGGGCGGTGGGTGATCGTGCACCACCACGCCAGCGCGTCCGGCGTGCCGCCCGCGGGCGTATGAGCCGGCGGGGCCGCGAGGGTGGGATGGAGTTCTGGGCCTTGGGTGGCGGGGAGGGTGGCACTCCCGTGATTGGCATTGTCCAGGGAGGAGGGGTGGGGTGGGGTTGGGGGTGGGGGGGGATGCGTTCCTATGAGCGGGATTGGAGGGTGATGGAGCGCTGCCCTTGCGCTTTAGAGGTAGTGGGGCGTGGTTTGGTCGAGCACGGGGTCGGTCGTCTACGGGCTGGGCTGCCCAGGCGCGCCTGTGGACCCCCCTGCACGGACGTCGGTCTCTCGGGAAACAAACGATGGGTTGGGAGGGGTGTTTAGTGGTTAGAGATGGAGGGAAGGGAACCATCATAAGATGCAATGAACGACGCAAATGTCGGTTTATTAGGTGGATGGGCGGCGCTCTGTCCGTTTTCATATTTTTAAGTGAAATGTTCAGTGTTCTGAGAGACCACGACCGTTGTGCTCACTTGGGAATGACTGCAAGATGTGCTATTCCGTCACGGCTAATGGTTTACAACGAGCGAAAGTTAAGCAAGTCCACTTGTTCAGCCAACGAAAGTTACCGACATTTGGGTTGTGTCTGTGTTGGTGAAGATGGCCACCGAACTGCGAGACTGGCTGGGATTCAGTGGCCTCATGTGGGTGCACGAGACTGACAATGGAGACACTGAGTGTGTCAGGGTGTTGAGCAACCTGCGCAGCACAGAAATCGAACATGTGTTACTGGCCACAGCCACAACCACACACACCAGCTCTGGGGTTTGGGGAGGTTGCCTGAGCAAACAGACATGGGTGTGAATAGGGGCAGAATGTCCACAACGCTTGTGTTAGGATGGGTTCGGCCCTTGACTCTCAAGTCTGACGGGGTATTATGGCGAACAATGGCCATTGAAGAACTATGCACAAAGCCAGGACGAAAACAGTTTCGAAGCTGGGATGGCACCAGTGTTGCATAGAGAAGCACACAAGGGATGGGTGCCTGTGTGCAAGAGACGTTGCTTACCTTGAATGCAGCCCACCATACAGAAGCAGTCTGGCCCTGGCACCCATGGAGTCTTCAACATCAACCAACAGACCTTTGAGTTCGCGACCCGTTTGCCTGGACTTGGATCGCTTTTCCTGATGGCTCATGACACGGCCCTTGACAGTTGGGAGGTCACCCTGCTGGGTCCCCTGTGCCGAAGACCCTGTAGCAACAGTCGAAAATTGTCTTTTTCAAGCGAAAGCATACTCTGTGCACGATGGCCCACGCCTCCTCTTGGCAACACCACTATGAGAAGCTGTTCCATGCTTTGAGCAGATCGTGCACAAGGCTAACAGTGCAACACAACGAGCACTCAGGCGCACACCTGCTGTTGCTATCCCTGCCATGGGAGTACCATGTCTTCCCACTTGCTGCACACCATCCTCCTCCTTGACCCTTACGTCCAAGTGCCTGCCGGCGTGCCCCTGCCCGTCCAGCATCGGCATCCTACCAGCGCGCCAGTCAGACAGTCCCCACGTCTGCTGCGACTGGCTTGGTTCCCTGGCCGGACCGACTTGCTGCAGCGTGTGCCCACTGTATGCTGGCGTGGCGGATTCAGCCACCGCCTGCGATTGGAACTCCCCCACGAGCTCTTGCCCTCCAGCGGATTGATGGGCTGGCGATGCCAGCTGGTTGCAGTCCAAATTCCCGAACTGGGCCCTGATGTGGGGTCTCACGGATCGTGCAGTTCCACTCCCCACCCCAAAGGGACGTGTCGGTGCCAAGGGGCTCTGCTGTCCACTAGCGACAGCCCCTGTGTCCATTCTGTTTCCATGCAATAACTCTCCCATTGGGTGTGCGAGCCTGGCAAGTTCCACGACTGGCTGCACCAAATTGTTGCCCAAGTTTCCAAGTGGTGGTGATGCTCCCGAAGGGTGGGTAATGGAGTTGGGCGGAGCGCCATCAGTAACCGCCAATTTGAACTCGTCAACTGCCATGCCATGCGAGGCCAGACTGCGCAGTATGCGTTCGTACATGTCGCGCAGCCTTGCCACAGGCTGGCTCCCTTCAAGGCAGGAGGGCAAGATCATCAGGTCACACAAAATGATCAGGCGCAGTTGACCATCAGTGTTTAGTCGCACGTTGACAAATGCAGTCAATGAGGCCTCTAACCGGCCATCAGTTGACCGGTCAGACCACCAGCTAATGCTTGGGTTATGTGGCAAAAAGAAGGGTGCTGAACACTTGAGAATGCAGAGTATTGCATGTGCTCAAGACTTCCAACAGCGTGGTGGCGTTCGCTGTCAGCCACTGTGTCGCCAACTGCCTGAGACCAGCACTCGGCCACACTGCTGCACATTGCACCTCCAACAAATACCATAAGCAACAGGATGTCTGTATTGCTGGAGTGAAGTTGGCATCGGGAAGACAAGGAGTGGCAGAGGAGTCACGGATCCCACCAGTTGAAAGCAGATCTCTCAGAGGAGGAATGGCACGTAGACCCCACGATGCACCGTCAGGAGTCTCCCTAACAATGCAGTCCAACAACCCAAGCGCCTGCTTCGCCAAGTGCAGGCGCGTACCGTGCTCGGGTGCACGGGATTGGGTGACGTTGGGGACGATGACTGGGCTCGTCCGAAGGATCTTCTCGACATGCTGTGTCTGAGGCGGTTGGCCGAAGAGGACCATGAGGGAAGCCTGTATACGTCCACCATCCTGAAGGCCACAGGGTGGGAGATGGTAAGCATCGTTGCAGTCAAGTTGCCATGCCCGCAGCAGGACATGATACTGCTAAAGCTGCTTCATGACAGGATTGTGCGCCTCCCCAATCGTCAGAGCTGTCAGAGCTGAATTCCGCAGACGCTATTTCGCCAACGCCGCATGACGAATCCAAGCACTCGCATTTTGCAGGAGCTAGCAGGTGCTGCAGAATTAAATGAGCGTTTGCTTGGCATACAAAGATCAAATGTCTGCACCCACTGTCGACACAAGAGCTCAAAGACACCATCCCATTGGCTGTTTCCAAAACTAACGCATAAGGGGTAACAAAGTTTTTCAACAAAATTAGCCAAACAAGTATACTTGACAATTTAAATAATGAACAAGAATAATGGTAAAATAAGGGGAAAAGGGCAAATCAGATCATGTCTGTGTGTGGCAATTAATATATGGGTGGCAAAGATGGCCGTATTCGCTTTAAAATGCAAGGGTATCATTCCGTCCCCTTTGGCAACTGTTGTCAGAACAGAATATCAGCAAGATCAAGAGTTCCCAACAGCATGGAAACAAAGCTACAATGCAGGAAGGCACTGGCCGAACGTTGGCCACTCTTGATAAAAGCATTCCAGCTGTGCTGATCTACGTATAGCCTGTGAGGAACTCAGAACCACAGGCCAAGCATTCATTGGCCTCAGCAGACAGGATACTATATATAGTATTACGCACAATCCATGGGATTGGCAAGACGGAGTACCTGAGATTGTAGTGGCTTGAATTCGTTCAGCAGGGATGTACTCCGCTCCATCCTGTCAGCTGCGATTCGAAATTCGTCCGTCATCGTGTCGCGTATGCAACCCAGCAGGTCCCTCAGGCAGACAGACAAGACAAGGCTCAAAGCCTTGCTCAGACTCTCCTTGCTTGGAAGCGCTGCCGTCTGCAAGGGGCCATTTCTGCAGCAGCACAGGCCACACACAGTGCTCAGTGCCACCCTGCACTGCTCATACTGGTAAACGAGCCACACGCATGCAGCTCACTCCAGGGAGTCATAACATTTTTTAGTCCTGCGACTGCAACTGGTCAACATTGATTCACAATGCACCATCCCTGCAGCTCGAGGCGTTGATTGGAATAATTCTGTAAATATCGTCTGCTTTGAGAAGCTAATCAGTTCACTCAACTTGGAACAGCACAGAAACTGTGGTAAAGATAGCCGTTTATGTGCACTGCCTCAATCCCAAATCATGGATCACCCCAGTGTACAGGAAAAACGAACATTCTGGAACAAACACTGTCCAACGGAGTTCTGCTTGTCGTCGCCTTGAAGGTGCAAGGGCTCTGCTCTGTTACATGTTGACTAAATTAGCCAAACGGATTCTGACCATGGTCGAGGGGCAGGATTTCCCCATATGCATAATGGTTGTGTTGGAATGTATTCACGATTTGATGATGTGCTGCTTCATGCCTTGACTTTAGGGTGCATCGTGCAGAATGGAAAGGATACAAGTTCCGAGTATGAGATCAGTTCAGTCAATCTGCTTGGCCCGGGGCATACCTTAGAGAAACACTCCCAGATATTTCCAGATCGTTCACACGAGTTGGGGGTGGCCCGATGAGGTCTGGATGCTGCTGGAACAGGTGCGTGAGCAGGTCATAGGCGGCGATCTTGCAACTTCTGGATGGGTCCAGCCTGTGTTCTGGTCTTATGACCCGCATGACGCCACCCAACATGCATGGCAAAAACATCTCAAGGAGCCGTATGTTCTGCAGTCCGGGTGTGGAGAGCAACATTTTTAGGAACTGCAGAGTGTTCACCCCCACCCTGTCCATCACGCACAAGCTGGCATCAGCACATGAGCTTAAACTCACTTGAGCATAAATCTGTTTCAGTGAATTTTCAATGTTGAGAAGGTTTGATGATAAAAATGTTGAAAACCGAGTATTTCCTGGGCGAATCCAAGCATCTCATTCAGAAGAAAAGTAATGCAAGCATATGGGGAGCCAACTCTTGGCCAACTCTCCTGAGGCATTTTCTGTGCGGTGAAAGATTGGTTAACACACTGTAAAAGTACTCACTGCCACATAACAACATATTAACATGTCAGCCATGGAATCAGCAGACAAGTCTGTAATACAATCGAGCTGTTTCATCATGATCTTCAGTCCTGACAGAACTCTTGCCACACATCAGGTCCCATAGCACCTGTCCGCACTTGCCGTGCCATAGGCTGTCCGATCCAGAAAGTGCCACACAAAAGACCTCAAAATGAAATGCAGCAGTCCCACTGCATGGCCCCCAGGATCTTCCTCCTCCCGGCCAGAGTGACCCTCTGCACAACCGCTGCCAACCATGTACTGTCCCCATCCGTGACTGCCCCCCGCATCGCCGAGGACATTGGAGAGCACGTCGGGATCCAGGGCAGTGGCAAATGCCTCGAAGATGGCAGAGTCCACTGGGTTGATGCCCCAAGCTGCCATCGGGACTTCCATGCATGAGGAGAGCAGTATTTGGAGGGGGCGGAGGAGGGGTTGGCTCTGAGGGAGAGCCTCCGGCGCACCCATATTGATGATGGCTGCAAACAGCCTTGTGACATGTGCTGTTGCTCTCTCCTGGCAGCAGCACAGGGAGCCTTGCCATCAAATCTGCCTGCCAACATGTTGTTTCACTGCATTCATGCGGAAACTGCTAAATGATCAGTGATCGCAGCTCAGCAGACGATTTTCTCCTGTTCTGCCACACAATACAGGGCAATTGTGGGACTTTGTATTGATGCACAGCCATTTTTTGGCTGAAACCTACAGACTCTCTGTTGTAGTTTGGTTTGGTGTTTGAGATAGACCAGCTAATAAAGAAACTGCTGTGTCAGGAAGAAGCCTGCAGTGCTCATTGCCACTTAACCAAATCCCAATGCCATTTGCTGCCATCGTCCAAGTCACCACAACACAACACACAGGGGCTACTGCCCAGCTGCACGTGCACACCATCTTTCCAATGAAGATGATGGGTCATACATTGGACACCAGTCTGCAGGGTCGAAAACTAGACTCATCCCTTTGCCAAAAGAGGAGGTCAACTAATGTCCTTGTGCATACAGACAGGCTCACACCACTGAATAAATCGAACATCTGGAGAAACAACCCAGTGAGGATGTGCATTGGTTCTGTGGGCCAAATGGAGGTCCAGCAAAGAAACTATAATCGTGCCTTTCCCGTGCTGTAGCAACTGCCAAGACTTCTACAACGATCAAATCAAGGAGATCGCATGAACGTCCTTGAATGATGCCAGTTGCCATGCAAGGCACACAAGCAACGAACCACAGCAGGACATCCACCAGCACCATTGGCGCATGCCATTCTATGCCATGCAACATTCAAGCATAATCCATGTTCAATGGCTTGAACAGTCCAAAAGCAAATTTACCCTGTAACACCATTGCTGTCACAGGAGCTTGGATAATGTCCGTCCTCCTTAGAAGGTGAAAGTTAAAGGAGCAACAAATGCAGATACAAAAGAGAAGGTTGCAACAGACAGACAGGGAAGGTGGATTCATTGCTTGCTTTCAGAATTAAAATACGTCTGTACAGATACACACATACTTCGAAGTACAATTGAATGTCAATACACCCAAGCATTTGGCACATTCATACCTCAAGCACCTTCCGCACATTTGTGAATGGCCCCAGGGTGTTCTGTGCCCCTTGGGGCCCAAGCCTGAAATATTCGTCCTCCAGGAACCTTATGCTTTCATACACCCAATGAGCACAGCACCCCAGAAATTCGAGCCCCTGAGTGGGCTGCACAAAAGGGGGGCGCGATGGGCTGGAGAAGGCACGGCTAGGCCCCCCTTCCCTCAGCAGAGACAGCAGCATGCCCGTTGCCTGTTGGTGCCAATGGTGGCGGCGCAGGATGGTGGTTGGTGTGCTGTTCTGTCTGAGCTCCCTGTCACGAGCAGATATGACCTAAATGGCACAGGGGAGGCCATCCCTTTGAGTGTGAATGCCAATCTGCAACAAATGCTGCACTTGCACCAGCAAGCCAATGATTGTATTGATGCCCATATTTGCTTAGGCAAAGCAGAAACTGGCAAAGTGGTAAGTGCTGGGTATAGATCAGCCATGTAACTGACTCATGAATGAACTGGTGAACATTACCACTTGTCCGAAATTCCTTTGATCAGCCATGCAGTGCACTGGCCGTGTCTGCATGTTGTAGACACATGTGATTCAAACATGGCATATGAGTGCATGCTATGTGAGAGCCAATTCTAATTTCACTGAAGAAACAGTGAGGCGAGATAATGCATGATGGCAATCATGATTCCCTGGGCCACATCCCCACTTTCTGTCCAGATGCAAGAAATTTTAATCGAAGGAGCAAGAGTCTAATTGCAGTAGGTCACATGGGCAGTGCTGGACGTTCTAGATGCATGCACCGTTGAAATGCTGCCCATTGAGTGACCTCTGCCTCTCTACTAAACAATTATTGGGCTCAGATGCTGAAGGAAGAACAATTGCTGTGACAGCCTGCGATGCAGCAGCCCTGCTGCAGTTGAGCCCTGAACAGTGTCTGCTTTGGTGATTCCCTGCACACAAGTTGTGTGTGAACCTATGTTCAATGTGCGTGGCTTGCTCCCGTGGGAAAATGCACCCATTCAAAATGTGGAAGTTTGCAATGCAGTAGGCTGCTTGCCTTGTCGAGTCGGTCACACAGCAAAGGCAGATGGCCCCCCATCGCCTCGCTGCTCCTTAGCTGGGCAGCCACTCTTTCTAATAAACCTGCACAGACATCAAATCAGAAGTTATTTCATCCACAAAAACACAACAATTGTTTTCCGTGTCAGTATTCTATTCGTGTTAGGAAGATGTGCGGCAGATGAGTGCAGTAGAGAACAACTTGCTTGCCGCAAAGAAGAACTGGCTGGCCTGACTTGTGTGCCACTCTGTACAGCTGTGTGATTCGGTGTGGCAAATTCTTTTGGCAGCTTCTTCCCTCTACATGAGAAGTGAGCAGGCAAATGCATGGGCGCAAAAATGTGCTGTCTCAACACCAAAGCGTTTTGCCCGTTTCCTCGACTGAACAGACGCAAGCACTGTGGTGTGGCACAGAAAGCAGCAAGGAGCCTCTCAAACCTGCTCCAGTTGTGCACATGCAAAAGAAACTCGGAAAATGTTTTGCTACTGCGGGAGACACTCGTTGAGAAACATGTTGCCCTAACTTTAAAGGGCACGCGTGCACAGGGGAGCAATGCAGGTTCCAGTGTGCACTCTTCAGCAGCGAGGATATCAATCCAGTCGTTCTAGAGTAAGTGTTTGTATTTTATTATTTTCGAAGGCACTGACTAACATCAACGAATTGCCCGAGTGAACTTGAGAAATGAAACAGGCTGCACCAGGTTGTTGTCAGGTTGACAAGCAGAAAATCTCCACCAGACCTCGACGGGCCTCCATGCACCCATCTCCCAGCAGCTCCTCCAGGACCCTCACCCCCTCAAAGGCGCCTGCAGTACATGGCTGCATTGCCAGGACAGCGGTGAAATGTGCAAAGCAAAGCTGTCCTCCAAAATCAAACGACGACTTCAGCCATATGCGGAGCAGGTCTGGTGTGGCAGTGGCAGGCACAGCCTCTTGTGGCAGGTGTTCGAGCACACCCGCCAGAAAGAGAAGCGCAAAACAGCGCTGGCCAACGCTGGCATTCTCCCAGAATGCATCGCAGCCATAGGGCTTGAATGCTTGCTGCTCTACAAATGAGTATGAGGCCCCCCCTGTCTGGACGATGAGGGCCACCGCCCGTGACAGGACTTCGATCTTCATCGAGATGATCTGCAGTGCCAAGACAAACCAATTATGATCCCAAACCAGTAACACATCGACAGCCTGTTGTGTATGTTGACATCAGACCTTTCGTCAACAGTCCCTGATGGCGACTGTATGCACATACAGGACAAAGCTGATTTTGCAGCGCAAGGCGGTTGGAAACATTGCCTTGACAACATGCCTTCATGATATTAGTTATGGTCAGTGTTTGTGCAAAATAGATTGTCCACCTGACTGTCCCTGGATGCGGGCTTGGAGGCATCATCGCAGTCACCTTGTCTGCCCGTCCGGCCAGGGAAGTGCATCACAACAAGGGCTTCCAGGGTCTGCAGCACTTCAGGAGTGAACCTGGTGGCCAGATGGCGCTTGAATAAGGAGGAATTCTGGGCATCGCACAGTGCACAACAAATGTTGGTGTTGGGTGCTGGATCCTGAGTTTGGAGCCTTCTGCATCATACTCCACACTGTGAAATAAAGTCATGCCTCACCCTTTTGGTGGGTGTTCCATTGCACCTCAAGTATGGGCACTTGTCAACACTGAATCGGGCCACCAGCTTTTTGGAATGCAACAAAGCTTAATTCAGTTGCTGATGGATGTTGTACTTGCATGTCTAAAACGGATGTTGACTGTAAATGTGTGTGATGATGTACGTCAGTGGCAGGACAAGTGGATGGATGTGAAACGAATGGATCACAATGAACAGTGAGATGATCACCTGCAGCGCCTCCACTGCCATGAATAGAAAAGCGGCACTTTGTGCTCGTGTGCTGCACCACATTGGGACCCACAGCAAGTTGACAATTGTGGGCCCATTCGGGAATGCGATTCGTTTGAAGGACACATCGCAGTTTCACTGGCATGGCATGCGTATGGGCACAGTACAGCCATGTAAACACACAATTGTGTTGAGCTCCCAGGCCTGTTTGGCAACAACACCAAGAGTTGAGAGGCCAAGCTGGTTGACTGTGCGTAGGACAGCCTTACTACAAGAGGCACCCCAAGCACATCCGTGCTAATTTTGAGAAGGTTGCTGCCTCCATCGCACTCCAGGTGCTTGGGCAATGTCTTGTAAAACATGTGGCTAATGTAATGAAAGCAAAGCTCTTACATTGTTTGCTTCAATCTGCTGCCACTCCTTGCAACCTGACAGTGCAGCTGATGTTGATTTCAACAACAAAGGAATAAAACAATTTATGGAATCGATTTAAATGCAACAATGATTGACTTCATCTGCAAACATGTTCAATTCATAGGGGAAAGCGCATTCTTTCTGGGATTTCATCCAAGATTTTGACTCAGTTAAGTTGCGTGCCTTGGCAGCCACCCCAAGAATATTGTGGGTGATGGGCACCACTCACTTCGCTGTGCGTGGCCATGGCGGTGGACAGTCGGATATTGAGGACTGCCAGAGCATTGGACTGAACAACCGGTTCAAAGGTCGTGTTCATCTGGAGCAGCTTCATCAGTGGCTGGCCAATGAAAACCAGCTCACCGCCACCCTGGCGAGCAGCAGGAGACAGCGAACACAGCACACGCTGCATGTGCATGAGCACAAGGACGATGAGGTCTTGGTCACCCCTCTGCATGGTGTTGAGGAAGGTGAGGTACTCATCGTACAGAGGGAACCAGTGGGGACGCCATGGCAGGTCGCTAGCGTTAAGAGGATTGGCCCTGCAGGTGTTGAACACCACTGATGTTATTAAAATTGAGAATGGTTGTTTCGAATTCTCAAGGACTATTGCTAACATGAACGCAATAGGAAAAGCAAGAATGGTGAGAAATTGTGGCATGCACAAAGGAGTGAGCGGGGATGTGTTTCAGAACACGCAGAAGAGATGGAGCTTCAACTAAAAATTACAAATATTGTTTTTGGGAGCACCAGGCCATGCTGCAACTTCCTCATGGCAATCATGGGTTATCAATCATTCCTCTGGTTGACGTTCTGGGGTTTGGAATGTTGCCAAGCATTGTGAGGCCGCTAGAAATGGAGGCTGTCTGGCTAACTTAGTTCAGCAGGCTTGTAGAATGACCAGTGTATCATATTTTCATGTTGGTTCTAGGATATCAATCATCGCTGCAGTGAATTGGGACAGACAGCACAATTCCCAAGGCGTACTTATTCTGCTTCTGTCTGACTCCAAACATATTGTGCCATGCACAGGCATCCATTGCCATCCTACTCAACAGTCAAAACAATTTAAAAAATGGGCAGTGGAGACTCAGCGCAGATGCACCTGCAGTGAATCGGGGACCTCAGAACAGCTGCGATGCGTTCATGCTCGTCGATGAGTGCCCCCAGCAGGTCATTGATGCTCTTGGCCACTTCGGTGACGTCCATCCCCCGCTGGCGCATCGCATCCAGCAGCCTGAACGCCCCACACAGCAGGATGGCCCTTGCCTGCAGGTCGCTGCTTCTGAAGTCCAAGAAGAGCTCCCCGCCAAACAGCAGGCGCACCACGCTGTACAGCACGTCCTCCTGGGGCAAGGTCTGCACCAGGAGTAGCAGGAACTGCACGGCCAGGCGTAAAGTGTCGTGGCTGGTGTTGCCTGCGGACATTCGCACCGGAATTTTCATGCAATTCGCAGCAGTGCATCACTTCGTTCATTCACAGGCAGCTCAGTACATCCTGCAATCTGCTAGCACTCAGCTGCAATGACTTCATCACTCACATAATTTATGTGGTAAAATTAACATGATTCGATTCCATCGAATACTATTCGATTCTGTGCTCAATATTGAGAGTATTTTTTAATCACCTTGGGCATTGCAGAAACAAGGGATTCATTGGTTCCAGGATGACAAGCTTGTGTTGCAGAATGTGTGACTGGAGATGCACACAGTGGCACATAGTGTGTTTGTGGAAGGTGGTGGTTGCACAAGTAACTGCTGGAACTGGCACAAGCGATGCTCTGTCCATAGCGAGGTATTCCATGCTTGAGATTTCGGGACATCATCGTGGTCACCTATCTGCTGTTTAGGGAGTGAGCACACCAAAGGGGCAAGTAACAGATCCCATCATCACATTTGCGCTTGTGTGGATGTGATGAAATGGTGGCATTTCACCGGTAACACTACAGCAAGCGCTGATCACAGTCACAGGTGCTGCTTCTCGACAATGTTTCTGTTCTGTTTCTCCAGCAACAGGAACTGGTCTGGAATCTGTCTGTGTGTCAGACATGGAATGCTGCCTGTCGTTGCCGGGAGCACAAATGGCAGCATCAAAGCATCTGTTGAGTGAGGATGGAATGCACATCAGGCTGTTGGATTTCAGAAGGCAGGCAGGCAATGGACATTGTTGTTGTGCTGCTTGTCTGAGGCAGACGACAGGAAGATTCGCTCTCCTGGGGCCACAGGTCTGACAACTGCAAACAAGGAAATTGCAAAGCATGCCATATCAATCAGGCACTGGGGCAGGGAAAATTCAACAGCTGAATCATGCAATGGTGGGGACTCTGCACTGGGTGAGAATCTCCTCCATTGTAGTTGCGACGTTCAACGCTGCCAGACTATAGTAGCTTCAATTGTCCAAGGGAACCTGGAAAGCTGGGCTGTTTCGTCTTTATACATTGCCATGGATGGTGCTGTCAGCTTGCTTAGTGAAATTACCTCTCCTGCTCGCATTTTTTGTCACAGCTGATTATTGGATGGGCCTAGGAACAGCATGTTGAATATTCCCTCCGTTTTGTGTTAAAGAAAGTCCCGTTCTGGAATGAGCATTTCTTTCCATGCTTGGACGATTGCTGCGCACCCAGTACTGAGCAGGCATTGTGCTAATGTAATGTATCAATGCAACCACGTTCACCCGGTCATGCAACATCCTCATGCTGCAAATGCCCCAAGGAATCTGGCGTGTGCTGTCTCGATCTGCTCTGTGCTCCCATGTTGTGTTGTTTCATGCTGCATGCACGTGTGTGTGCAGAATTCTTTGGCCATTGTCCTTGCCTGTGTGCTCGATGCACACCTTTTGCAGGAAGGGGAACAAAAAACGCAGCTGGTTGTCACATACACCGACCATGGTGAGCTTGGCGGCAAGATCTTGGCTGTTCTTCTTGGGAAATGATGTCCCAACAAGTGAACGCACACCTCTTGGAGACACTGCAGACACCACCATCGACTCGTCCAGCTGATCGGTGACAACCTCCAGCAGCTGGCGCAGCACGTTGCAGACGCAAGAGTACATCTCTTCCATCCCCTCCCCACTGTCCATCTGCATGCGGAGCATATCCTGGCATTCCTCCGCCTCCTCGAGAAGTTCCAGGAAGACTCCCTGACCCTGTGGACACTGCACCGGCGGGGGCGCCCAGCTGACTGCCGCCAACGTGGCCAGGAACGCGTCCAGTGAACCCGTCCCTGTTTGCACAAGCGGAGCTGATGATTCGGGACCAATCCATTGCACTGGCAGCACCCAGCCTCGTTTTGGCCGATTGGATGTGTGTGCTCAGAAGATGCACACGGGTTACTGTCGTCCAGCAACTGAGAATAATGGCGTCAAAGGGCCACTGCGCAGTACAACGGTTCCTGAAAACAGCGTTTGAGTCTCTTTCCACACCAGAAAGCGCTGCTGCTGATGTCTCTGAACTCTATAACGCAAGGGCCACAGCAAAAGCGCAGAGTCCAGAAGCACGGGCACAGATTGGCAGATGCTCACGACGCCCTGTAATTCAGGACTCCACCGCCATCCAGAGACTGGCTTCACAAACGGAATGGAGCACGTCATCTACTGGGCTCCCGACTCCCGTGAAAAAATCACTCGCGAGACGCAGCTCCCTGGCGCAGAAGGCGGCTTCAAGGGCGGCTCACCGCGATCCCGCAGCCGCGTGGCGGCCTGGACCAGCGCTTCCCGGGCCTCGTGCACCGCGCTCCCATCCCCGCCGGCCTTCCCGTCGTCCGCCGCCTCCCCCAGCCGCCTGTCAAGCTCGAACAGCCCGGCGCCGATGCCCAGGCGAACGAGCGGGGCCACGGCCGCCTCGCTCGGCGGAGGGGGGAACTCGGATCGCACGATGCCGGGCTGGGAGCCCCACCTGCGTTGGGGCAAGATTCGTCAAAAAGAGAGAAAGAAACAGGTCGCAGAAAGGGCATTCTCTCCTAAGCAAGTGTATGCGAGACTCTTTCCATGCTGTGTGCCTGCGTCTGGGGCATGTGCCGCGGGTCAGTTCCCGGGTGCCGAAGCTCAGAGGCAAGTTTTGGTCGAGGATGAGAATCAGTTGTGAAGGCATGCGGCCCGGCGTTCCCCTGCTGGATGAATTCCACTGATCGCGTTTGCCCGCGCACGAAGGTGTTGAAGGGCGCCCAGCGCTGTTTGAATTGCTCGTCTGATTGCCTGCCCCTCCCCCCCCTACCCCTGTTCTGGTCTGCGCCGACCAACCTCCGCGACTGATATTCGAGAAGCTATCTCATGGGCACACCGGCGTCCGCTTTTTGTTTGTCCCCATCCTGGGCGAGTCGGCAGGAGGTGCACCGGGGGAGGCAAAGGGGCCTGGAAGTCGCCGATGGCCGCGTCCAGGCATTGGCCGGCGGAAGCGTCGGTCTGCGCCCCGGCTTGACGGGATGCTGGCGACGCCGCTAAAGGAGGTCACCGATTTATGGATGCGTCGATTGCGAGCGTCGCACGGAGCGTGTCGCTGCACCGCTAGGAGCTGACGGACTCGGCGACCTGGCTACCAAACGTCGGCAAAGCTTCCGCCGCGGATCTACCTTTGCTGTTGAAGATTCATTCTTCCTCCGACGGCCGTCCAGCTGCGCGCCCGACCCGTTCAAAGGACGGGGACTGGGCCGCAGGGTGGCGATCCGCCCACTGGGGCGATCGCGTGTTGGCTTGGCGCCAAATTTGCAAAGTGCCAGAAACTCCTGGTCGGTGGTGGCGTCGTATTTTTTGGGCGAAACCGTCGACGGGGTGTGACAGTAGAAAAAAAAAACACTGGCGCGGTGAAGGGAAGGCGATTGCCCTGGCGGTGAAGGTCGGATGAGACGGCTTGGAGGGCTGCACAGACTTGTACCACAGGGCGGATTCTGCAGGCTGGACTCAGGAGCGGTCCCGGGGGCTGCGGTTGTGAAAAGGGATGCCCCATCTGGACGTTAGACTAGATGGCATGCTTTACACCGCAGGCGTCTCCAATGTGGCGCCGTTGTCAACGGTGAATGGCGTGTTTCAAGCTTGGGTCAAATGTCCGTCTGCTCCCACACCTACCGACAGCCACAGAGGAAAAGAAGAGAGGTAACCGCAAACCACTAATAGCGGCCAAGAAACCTTCCAGAAAAGGGAAAAAAAAGGTCAAGAATTAGCCCCCACGTGAAATAAGCATCTGTCCACAACAGAAAGGCAAAAGCACAGCTCATGAACTCACGGTATGAAGTCCAGCTCAACGTAGAACCAGCATGAAGGACAAAAAGAAGCAAAGTCCAGAGCCGGACTTTGCCTACTCCCAACCGCGTCAAACCCGGGGGTGCCACTCCTTGCCGGTCCCAAGCATTTTTGAGCATGGCCCAGGAATCCAATCAGCCCCACAAACCCTTCGGTACTACTGCTACGATTCTCCCGGCCATCAAACGTGCACAAAATGGGTGAAGGATGACCATCCCTTCGACAAGATTGCCGCTCCTTGCGAAGGCGTTGTGGACACGGTGCTGCGCGGGGTCCAGAGGAATTCGTGCTGGCCGACTGTTGGTGCCAATGGTCGACGCGGTTTTCGGTTGCGTTGTTCCAGCAAAGTGTTCGTAAATCTGCGTGCAACGTGGGTGCACATCTTCTCACATATTTATGCATAAACACATAAACGTGAGTAAAGCGCCTCAGGCGCTCATGACAGAAAACCTTGGAGCGGGTTGGCATCCACCCGCGCACCGGCGGGAATGCGCCCCATGGCGCTGTCCAGCTCAAGCAACCCCCAATCCAGAAGATCGGGGTCCTCTCCCTGAGGCCACCCAGGAGGAATACGAGCAAACCCGTTCCTGGTGCCGTTGTACCTGGTGCGGTGTCCCCGTCCGATGGCCCTCCCTCTTTATGCAGCCCGCTCACAGGCCCTGCACACCCTTTGACACCACGTGTAAGCTCCCCCCCGCATGTGTCCTGTCCTCTCGGCAGCTCCCGCAGGTCAGCGTTTGCTGCCATGACGAGAGGTGATGACACCATTAGATGCCACCGTGGCGACGCCACCCGCCCATTTGAGCCATCTAATCCAGCCGAAATGCGAATAACGCGGACCAACAGGTCGCATTACCGGTGCACAACCGCTCCGCCCCGGTACTAAACGCAGGCCTGAACACTCCTGGGGCAGTCGCCTGTGCGCTCCCCCAGGCCTCAGCCCGCGCCCTCCACTCCCCGCCAATTGCCGCAAGCCCTGCTGCGAGGCTTTTGGCTCGCCGAAAGCCCTCCCGATGGTCTCCGAAAACGGTTCCACCGCCACAAAGCCGGCCTCAGCGCAGATCGACGATGGCCAGAGAGTCATGAGGTGAGCGGATGCGAGATGCCTCGCCCGCGGCGACGGCAGTCCGTTGAATTGGCCGTCGATCTTTTGCCCTGGCCGCGCGCTGACGGTCGAAATGGATAGCGCGCGCAGGGCGGTCCAGCGAGACTATGTTTCGGACCCGGGCCTAGCCCACGGGCGGCCGGAATGGTTCTGGACGGGCAGGGCGCCTGACGCGCCGACGCCGGGGGTGCTGGCCGACGGGACGATGACGTCGATCAGGATGCCCAACCTCAACGAGTGTACCAAGCAGGGCGTGCTGGACTACTTCGACAACACGTGGTGCCTGACCGAGGTGCTGTTCTCCTCGCTGCAAGGTGCGCCCAGTACTTAGGGTTCGGCGCGGGATGGCCAGGCGGGCTGGACGGATCCCCGGGTGGGCGGCTCGGAACCTAGGCGCAGATCTTCGACGGGCCGCCCGGAGCCTTCGACCCGCTCCTGCCGCGGCTCATCGCCTCGATGCGGCGATGCACGGCGCGTCGATCACCGGATCGCGGATGCTGGTGTGAGACCCGTCGGCGCTGTCATGGCGCGAGTTGAGGGGGTCGGCGCGGCCGCCCGTCGCCGCTATCTGCGACAGGAGGGGCGCGGAGCGCGTTTCCGGCGTTTTCGCCGCGATCCCGGCATTGTCTGACGGCTTGGATGGCCGCCCCGCGTCATGATGTTGCGGGATCTGGCAATGCGCCCATTGCTCACAGGTGGCGTTCCGGCCCGCAGGTGAGGAGGCCTTCTACCGCCTGCCGTACCACAACCTGCGCCACCCCATGATCTTTTACTACGGCCACCCTGCGGCCCTGTACATCAACAAGGTGAGCCTGTCGTGCGCCTCCTGTTTGGCGTGCGCACTACCATCCCGTTTTCATGCTTTTGCGCCGTCGCCGACGCGACGGCGCCTCGCGCGGCGGGCGAGCGTTGCCGGCGGCTGGTGGTCGTGATTGTGGATGTTTGTCTGCCAGCTGCGAGTGGCGGGCCTGCTGAAGGATCCCGTCAACACTTACTACGAACACATTTTCGAGACTGGTGCGCACCCCACCTCCTGCTGTTTCCGCCCCCTAGACCGATCCTCTTCGGATTTGTGAGGGACGGTTGGCCTGAGGCGGTTGGGGCGATGCAGGTGTGGACGAGATGTCGTGGGATGACATGTCGAAGAACGAAATGGAATGGCCTCCCGTTGCAGAGGTAGGCGGCCTTGCAGAGAATATCGCTGGGTCACCATTGCCGGCCAGCGACAGCCGAACCACCCTGGCGGTGTTTCTCACTTGCTTATTCGTCCCAACTTCTTTCTGTCATTGCCATTCATGGCATCCTCTGCAGCCCTTGAACAGTTTTGCATCTTCTTCAGCTGGAGAGTTCGTTGTAATCTTGCCCAGGAGGGTGCTGGCCGTTGTGCTGCATGTCTACCTCTTTGTCCAGACAATCATGTTGTTTTTAGTTGCTGCATAAATGTAGCCCTGTGGCGCCGCACCTTTTGACAGTGTCCCTGTGGCGCTCTATGCAGGTCACGGAATATCGCAGGAAGGTGTACAGAATAGTTCATAGAGTTATAGAGGACTGGCCCTTCGAGACACCGACTTCGTGGGTGAGTACATGTGTCTGGTTACCCATGCTGCGATTGCCTTTGTGTCTGTTTTGGCGGTTTGGGACTTTCTCATCGCAAATCTTCTCTCGATCTGTACAACCTTATGGAACGAAAGAGAATGTGACTGCCTTGGTGTCCAAGGCGCTGATCAGGCTTGTGGCTGTTGACATGGAGTGACTCCAAGGCAGAAACGGTTGTGCGGCTGTGCTTCTGTTGAATTGTGGTGGTTTCTGCAGGAATGTCCTATGTGGTCAGTCTTCATGGGCATGGAGCATGAGCGCATCCATTTAGAGACTTCCTCAATGTTGTTGAGGGAGCTGCCCTTGCGCCTGCTGAAGAGGCCACAAGCGTGGCCTGCCTACCACCCCGCTCTGATGGACTCTGCCAACAGGAAGGTGTGCCACAGTCTTTTTGATCAAAGACATTGCCAACACTGTTCCTTTTCTCTTGCAGAAGGTCAGTCTGTTGCCCCGGGTCACTGTGGCCTGGCTCTGTTTTAAGTTATAATTCCTCTGCCCAAGTTTTGTTGTCGTCTATTTGAAAGACAAAATAAGCTACAAGCACGACCTCAAAATTTCAAAACAAGTTCAAAATCGGAAAGAATGGGTTCCAAAACTCTTAGCCAATTTTCAAGAAGAAAAAGTGAGACACGGCCCCTTTGAGCGTCAGGCGAAAGGTACGTTTTGGTCATTTTCGACCCCAAATATCGAGCTTTATTAAGTTAAAAGACGCTTGATACAAAGTACTGCCAAATCCTCAATACTTAGTGGATTGACTTGAAGTTTTAATTGTATACTCCAAACGTACAAGCACAACTTTTGGTGGAATTTCATTGAAAAGGGATGTCAGTGTGATAGAGAAGTAATGCCCCAAAGTCATAGAAGACAACTAATCTTGGACGGAGGAAGTAAATCCAGTATGACTCTTAGCTTGTGCTAAAAACCCTTATTGAATTTTGCCTTTGAAAGATAAAACGGTGTCCTTGCACTTTGAATGCCATGAGAGTAATGTAGACATAGCGAAACTTTCAACTGTCCATCGTCCATTCGTTTATTCCCTCACCACCTGTCTGAGCCCTAGTACAGATCGCCGGGAGTATTTGCCCCTCGTATACTGCATGCATGGGCTTTTTCTTTTATGTTATGATTGCAGTGCCCAACTTGCCTGTTCCCTTCTTGGTGTGGCAGTCGCCTGTGAACAAGTTCATCGAGTGCCCCACTGGGGATGTGACCTTGGGGAAGGCACATGACTGGCCGACGTTCGGGTGGGACAATGAGTACGGCCAGCGCGAGTTTTGCGTGAAGGACTTTTCAGCAACGGCATTGCTTATAAGCAATGGCGAATTTTTGGAATTTGTTCGAGAGGGCGGCTACAGCACGTCCTCCTATTGGTCTGAGCAAGGCTGGAAGTGGAGATCGTTCAGAAACGCAAAGTGGCCAACATTCTGGGAGCCAGTGGGACCAGCAGGACTGCATCAGTACATGGTGAGCTGCCATTATTGCTCAGTCACACCTCAGTATCTGAAATGTGCTGGGAACCCAATGCTGCCACCTGTGCTGTTGTTTTCCTGAAGTGCCATCCTTTTCACATCTGCTTGATAACACTTCCGTTGATGATTTCTCTTTTGGCATGCTGTCCTCTGCTTGTATGGTGCAGCCCATTTTATCCCTTGCTTTCGCTGCTGCAAGCAGTCATGGATGGTCATCTGACCAAATCTGACCAAGCCTAACTTATTGTGTGCCGTGCCCAGCTTCGCCTTCTGTTCGAAACTGTCGAGTTGCCGCTGGCCGCACCAGCCGTTGTTAATCACCACGAGGCGAAGGCCTACTGCGGCTGGCTGTCAGCCAAAGAGGGCCTGACAGGACATGCTGCCTATCGCCTCCTGACTGAACCAGAGTACTACAGATTGCTTGAGGTCGCGAAACGAGACAGCGTGGGTCGCATAGCAGAGGATCCAGTCATGGAGCAGAGCGGAGATGAGATGAGGCAGACCCGTAATGTCAACCTGGCCTATGGGGCCGAAAGCCCTGTGGACGCCTTTGCTCCAACCAAGATGGGCTTCCATGATGTGTCAGGCAATGTGTGGCAGGTGGGTCCTGAGGCACCTGAAGTATGAGATCAGAATGTGTGCCACAGCAGCTGGGTGCATGGACACAATGTGCAGTTGCTGTTTTCTGTTGTATTGCTGGAACTCTAGTGCTATTGAGGGACATCATACAGCCAGAGTTTGGTTGACTGCTGGGGGGTCCCTGTGCAAAACATGGATAAAAGACCTTTTGGGTGTACAGCCTGCCTGGCATTGGTGGGTTGAGCCAGTGTGCTGACTGTCAATAGGGCGGCCTGAGTGCACAGCAGATGCGCTGCCTGTCAGCTTGCACGCTGACTGGGACCTGGAAAGAATCGTTTTAAGCAGCTGGCAGTTTCAGAACTGTGCTTCAGCAGGGCATAACTGAATTCCAAATCTGGTGCCACAGTGGTGTGAGGACAACTTTGCTGCTCTGCCCAACAGCTGGGGAGTGCATACAATGTACGACGACTTCAGCACTCCCTGCTACGACGGCCAACACAACATTATCCAGGGTGGCTCATTCATCAGCACAGGCGACTTGGCCAGCTTTTTCGCTCGGTACCACTTCCGTCCACATTTTTTTCAGCACGCGGGATTCAGGGTTGTCAAGGGGAATGGGCCACCACAGATGTCGCACATCGACTCACCTCCTCCACATGTGAGTGTGCTCCCGATACCCCCTGGCAGCTGGCATTGTTGCCTGTGGTACTCTGTTTGAGAGCTTGACAGTGGCTCAAGCGTTGCTCTAAAAATGCTGTTCGCTGGCTTCCACTTGTGCTGCCGTGCATCCTTCCTGCACCAAAGACCTGTAACCCCATCAGCAGTGAGGTTTGCACCTCACCCTTCTTGGAGACTTCAGGCCGTGCGTGCAACAATTGTGCCCCAGAAAGTTGATTTGCAGCTGCTGTTCCAAGTTGCAAGTGGGTGTGCGATGCTAGCGGCCATTGGCTGGTAAAACATCCCAGCAAACGGGATTCTGACTATGCAGGTTGGGAATTGGAATCCAACAAGCACCCCTGTGGCTGACGGGGACACTGGCAAAGATGAGCTGCTGGGCCGCGAGGTGTTGACTCATTTCGTCGATGAGGTGCGCGGCAGGCCCCTGGGCACCCAGCTGCAGGCACACAGGGGTGCGTTTGCACGGGAGTATGTGCGGGAGGTGCTGGAGGGCACTGACGTTAAGACAGGCAGCGCCCTTGAGATCGGGTGCTCAGTGGGGGCGGTGTGCTTCGAGCTTGCCAGACACTTCAAGCAGGTTGTTGGGCTGGATCTGGAGGGGGAGCACGTTCAGGTGGCCAAGAAGCTGCAGCAGGATGATGAGATCACGGTTGTCAGGAAGGTAGGTGCTGTTGCAACAATGGCAGGTGCACATACGAATTTGTAGGTGTGGATGATCATGCATCCTGTGAGACCAGCACGCACAAGTTTAGAGCAGTGCATGTGTAGAGCAGTGACTTGGCATTGTTCGACCTCAAAACATTGCATGGCGATGCAATCCTGAAAAGATTGACAGCATCAAAGAGAAGAGAAGTTGAATGCCAAAGAAGAGAAGTACTTGGGGGGGGGGGGGGGGGGGGGAGCTGGACGTGTTAGTGTGGTTGCAAGTACTCTGGTTGTAGAAAGTGCGACAGCATCCGGATACCTGCCCGCAGCCCTGAGGTTAGCAAGTTGATTGCTTTGCTGCAGCTCACAGAAACCCAAGGCTGCACAAGCCTGTGGTCTTTGCACCTTGGCAGTACTCCTTCAGAATCATGGCCCTCTCCCTGTTCCCATCTTTACCTGCAATACGCTGCCTCACATTCATCGAGTCCAGGTGCCATCCAGTCCCAACAGAAGCGATCTGGTGTCCCCCGGCTATTGCACTGCAGGTGGAGGGCAAGGTTACTGACACCGTTCGTGTGAAGCTCCCGCTGAAGCGCGACATCAAATCTCGCGTCGTTTTCCGCCACATGGACCCCTGTGGCATCGCCCCAGACATCGGCGAATTCGACGTGGTGCTGATCACCAACATCCTGGAGCGCATCGCGAGCCCCAAGGCGCCCCTGCTGCGCATGGGCGGGGCGTGCCCCATCGTGAAGCGGGGCGGCGTCGTTGTGGTGGCCTCCACGTGCGACTGGAAGGAGAGGGTGTCCAGCAGCCAGCTGTGGCTCAGCGGCACTGAGGACCAGAATGGGGAGAAGGTGAAAGGACTTTGTTCTTCGGCGTGCTTCATTTGCTTTGATTTCTTTTTGCTTCGTTCATTTTTAGGTTTCCTTATTTTCTTCTGCTTGCTTTTCTATCCTATCCATGAGTGCACAGCCACTGACGGCTTCATTTTTTTTGTTGTTTTTGCTTCTTTATTTTGTTCAGTTTATTACTTCCTTTGTTTCGACGACGTTTATTATTCCTTCAATGGAAGCCCACCACCACCACCTTTTCAGGCGAATGTACGACTGGTGCCACGCTTTAGCGTCAAAGCAGCATGAGCTGCTGCTGCTGCTGCTGCTGCTGTTGCTGGCTTTGTGTTGCTAGGTTTTACCACATCACCGATGCATATTTTGTACAATATAGTTTGCGGTGGGTGGGCGTGATAGGGCGTGGTATAGGGTGTGGATAGTGGGCGTGGTAGCCTCATGCTGTGTTTTCGTCCCTGCAGTTGCTGTCAGCGTGAACGCACCAGGAGGCAGTGGCACCTTGTGCTGGGTACTGTGGTCCTACTTCTTGTTGTTGCCTTCGCCGTCGTTGCTGACACTGACTGCGTTGCTGTGCAGAAGCAGCTCTCGTCCTCCCTCCAAGCTGCGCTTGGCGACGAGTTCAAGCTCATGAAAGAGACCGACATCCCCCTCCTGGTTCCGGAGCAGGGGCGCAAGTACCAGCTGTACATGTCCAACGTCACTATTTGGAAGTACGGGAGCGCGTAGATCTGACATGGCCGTTTTGTGCCCCCAGTGCCGTTCGGAGTTTTGTCAAGCCGCCCCATACAATTCATTCGGTTGGTAATGCATCACCTTGTGCGTGTGCGTTTTGAAGGTATAGCAAGTTGGGAATCCACTGGGCAACGCTTGGGGTACCGATTATTTGTTGCAGCGTGGTTTCGGTTGGGTGGGGCTGTAGCAGGGGGCCGTCCTCCTCTGCATCGTGTGGGGCTCAGTGTCAGGTTTGTGGCGCGCGGCAGATCTTGTGTAACTGCCGTGTTGCTGGTCTTTGGGTGTGTTTTTCTGCGTGACCGTACAAATGCGCCACACAGGGGCGTGAAATTCGGTCGATGCTGATAGCTGCAAATGTGCAACGGGGAATGGACCAATTTGCCAGCGAAACCTCGTGACCTGGAGCTCTACCATTCCTGTCCAGTGAGTCGCGACTGCATTCACAATGGTGCATCCGGTGCGTTGCTTTCAGCCAGTCCTGAAAACTGGCCCACAAGTATGGGGAGGGGCGCGGCTGCGGGCAAAATGGAAAAACTCAAGCATTGCTGCTCTTCCGAAACCGAAGATGTGCTGGTGTGTCCACACACGAGGCCTGCCATGATCGCCCGCCAAATGCAAGCCATTTCTCTACATGAACCCTGCCAACAACGCGTGGATGCAGTATCCATGCTCGCTCCCGCCTGGAGCAGCAGCGTTCAGAGTCGCATGCGGTCGCGCCACACCTTCCTCGCCCGTGCCCACCCTGGGCTTACATGGTGAATTGCCGGTTCAAGCACACCGTTCTCGAAAGCCACTCTAGCTTTACCCCAACCCCCTGAGGTTTCTCACACTGCCGTTAACGCTATCTCAGCCCCACACTCCATCCCAGATCCATCCAGATTCTGGACTCCAGACATCCATCAAACGCAACCATTCACACGCCCCAGCCCTCCAATCAGAGCTACAACCGCCCGTTGCGAACTGCCCCCCACCCCACCCCCGTTTTGAACACTTCTATTCCCCCGTTCAAAAACTTCTATTCCCGGGGACAGTCCTCCCGCGCCACGGTGGCCTCTATGTCTCCGTGCGGCTCGCTGGTCGCCACGTAGACGTCGTTCTCGAACGCCTCGCAGGTGACGGGCTTGCAGGGCAGGAAGTGGATGTTGGGCATCCGCAGCTTCACGCTCTTCACGCACTCCTCGCCGTCCAGCGCCGCCTTGGCCATCTGGTACAGCGTGAACTGCACGGAGGGGCTGTACACGCCGCCCTCGGGCGGGCCGAAGAACGCGCCCAGCAGCGCGGCCCTGACGCCTTGGTAGGCGTCGTCGAAGGAGGGGGGCGGGGAGGAGTAGGCCCAGGACGCCGTCAGGCTGGTGGCCAGGATGCGGTCCGTGGTGTCCGGCAGGGTCGTGAACTCGTCGTGGACGTAGCCCACGAAGCCAGACTGCGTCGTCTTCAGGACCTTGAGGCCCTTGATGCCTGCGCGGGCGAATGGCGATTGGTAATGGCGATTGGCGGAATGGGTTGCGACTCGCGCGAGGTGATGGCGGATGCGACCCGCCCATTGGCTCAGGAATGGGGGTCTGGTGGGGCGTCTGCCCGATCGGGGGGTTTTGTGTGTTTGTTCGTCTGCATTTTCTTTGCAGTTTCAATTCTGCCTCTGTGCCTAAAACTGCTGAAACTCGGTCGTCGGCAATGTGTCTAGTTTGAAGGGTGACACTGTGAATACATGGTCACGCTCGACGCTGAACTGATGCTAAAGAGAGACCCCCACCCCCAGTAGTAGCATCGCCTTGGAACAGTTTTAGCCATGGTCCTTGAAATTGCAGCTTTGCATACCACTTGTGTTGGGAGGCACCTGATAAAGATGATGCCATGGTATGTAACAGCTATCTCACCACCGTCAGTTTGGAGCCACCATCCATACCGCAATAATGTTGTGCAGATGGTGGCGCCGTGACGACGAGGAGGGAGGGGAGACTTGGAAATCATGTAATTGCCCCAAAATCGTGACTCGCCTAACTGTTACAACGGGAGTAAACAGAAAACAAGTAAGATGCAAGCTCTGGAGACAGTAGCACACTGCGTGACTCCAAAGTATGCCCTCCAATGTAGCCACCCTGCAGATGGCAGTGTGTGATGGTGCTATTTGTTGGGACGATACCCCAACATGCTGCAGCTTGTGAGTTTGGAACTTGATGTGAGGCAGGGGCTCGCACCTGATGATATTGCCAGCTCCGCATCCTTGGTGTATGAAACTTCCACTGTCCTGTAGCCACTGCTTCCGCACACAAAGCCTGCACCACCACAGGCCGTTGTCCCAATTGGCAACCTTATTTTTTAGGACCGCCAGCATCGATGACCACAAGCCACAGTCTGGAACAATGGGAGGTGGAGACAGGTGGTAAAGATTGTCACACTTGTGCACAGGCCAAGGATACCGCTTTGTCTTTCGAAGGCAAGTTCGGACAAAGGAATTCAGGCTCACTTGTCAGTACACACCACCTTGGCAAGGGGGAGTGCAATACCATGCTGTGCTGATGTTCGTCATGGGTGCAGATGCACACTTGAAGGGTACCCACAAGAAAATTTTTGTGGCGGTTTTGAAGAGGCATGGCAGCCCTGAATTTGTGTGGGGATGAAGCAAAGTCAGCGTGCTATTGACATGCAGCAGTGCTGAGTACCATGCTGGTGTGCTGCGCCATTCAATGTCAAACGCTCCCACGGTGTCTCCTCTATGGAGACTGTGACCTTGGAGATCTGTCGAACGGCAGCAGCACATTTAGTACTTCTCCCCAGGAAGAACAACTCGATGTCAAATTCCCAACTTCCATCGCGGGGGCAACACATATGGATCATGTACTGCAAAAGGAGTGGGTTGCAGGCAGGCCATTGACATGTCCTTGTTGTATGATTTTTCCAATGCTCTGCCACATTGTACGAAGGCAAGAGCACTCACAGGGGTGTGGAACTGATCGATGCCACAATAAATACAACACAAGTCCAGTTCCAAGGCAAACACTTTGGTTTTGATATCACAGGTGCACATTCCCTCAGTGCACAATGTGCGAATCAAGCATCATTCTGCTCTTCACATGAATCCCAATGCTCACTGGACTAAAGCCAACTGCATTCCTTTCCGGAAACAATACTTGGGCTCAACACAAAAAAAGAGCTGTCACCATCAGCACATCATACCTTCTCGTATTTGTCGACTAAGTGCTTAGCCAAGGCGATGGCAAACTCTTCAGGTGAGCATTTTTCGTCACACTGCTTTGCAATGTAATATACCTGCCAAATCACAAGAAGAGAACTATTGGAGCAAAATAAAAGCCCATGCATGACCCGATGATGGTGCTGAACAAACTCTTGGTCAATGAGCACACTGTAGAAGCTTTTGATCTTAGAACAGACCATACCTACCACAATGTCAGCAGTGACAAAGCACATACAAGCCCATCTCACTTTGGTTATGTGAATGTGCGTTTTGAGCATGTCATGCAAACCAGGCCAACCTTGGCCTTGGCCTGTGGATCTTGATCAAGACCACAATTCTCCATGAGCAAAGGCCGCCAGCTTGGAGGCTGCAGACTCAAATTTATACAATGTGCCTTCTTCTTGTCATGCCCCTTGCAATCCAACAGCATTTGCCAAATTTGCAACTTCGATCCAGTCTTTGACCGCACCCACACTGGCCATCTGAAACTTCAGAAGCAAAAAGGCTGTAGCAGGAAAGATAATATGACGGCCTATCAAGTCATAGCTGATGGCATCCTTGCACAAGCAGCATCATAGCAGTGGTCCAGCAGCCTGACAACCAATTTCAACAATGCACAACGACCTTGTGCCTGTATCTGGCTGCCCTCGTGCACCAAAGAGATGCCCTTGCAGAGTTGCTGTCGTCCCTGGTATTGCTTTCATCTCTTTTCTGTTATTCTTTTACGTTGATTTGCGTTTTTGTTCTTTCCTTGCTACTTTGTGTTGCGTGTTATCCCTGGTGTGCCTGGAAGCTTCTCTGGCACTTTCTCCAGAATCCAAACAGTCCCATAAATGATGTAAAATGTTGTCAGCATACTACACATTGAACGACACAATTCCTCTCCGCCCTTGAAGACAATCTCTGGCACTGGTGCCTTAAACATTGGAGCGATTCTGCCTTACTGGATTTCCTTGCTGTTTCAATCGACCTATTCTCTGCAGGTCCTCAACCAATGGGGACACGATCCCCTGGCAAAGGATAACGGAGGCGTGGTAGGAATGAGCTCCAATACATAACGCAGGAGGCAACCCACTGACGAGTCGCTTCGGACAGACAGCCGCAAGGTTAAGGCATATGGCACCACAGGCCACAAATTCTGTTCGCAACCTCGAGGATGGCCGTGGAGATTGTCATGTCTTGCGACAATGCGTCGACGTCGTGCTCCCACAGTCGACGAACCAACAGGTGCGCAATGCGACTGGCATTGGTGTCCGTGGACATCATCGCACCAGAAAGCCGCTACCACGCCTCGATTTCCAGGATGCGCGCCGGCGCTGGACGCACAGCCACCCCTGATCGCGCACAGCGCCCCAAACCGACGACGAAGCGGCGACTCGCCGACCCTGGGTCCGCGAAAGCCCCACGACGCGCCGCATGGGCGCCCAACCCCAATCGCCCCAATTCCATTTCTGCGACCGGATAAGCAACCCACGCACACCCGCGCATCCACGTCCATCTCCCGACCGAAGAAACCATCCCGCGCATTCGCCCCTCCGTCCCGGGCTCCAGACCATCAGACCCAGCCGCCCCGGTTTCGAAACGGCAGCCGATGCCGCAGCATCGACCGAACACAACGCAAATTTCTCGCGAAACGCAATGTCCGCATCGCCCGCCGGGACCTCCCGCCCACCGTGTTCTTCTGCGTGTCCGTGGCGGTCATGCCGGCGTTGTCGCCCTCCAGGTAGGCGTGCGCCATGTCGGAGAGCAGCATGGTGTCCACGGACCACTCCACGAAGTGGTGCGTGAGCTCATCGCGCCAGACGCGGCCCAGGCGCACGCGCGTCTTGCCGTGCTGGTGGGCCACCAGGGCCATGGTGGCGACCGGGGCGGGGGCGACGGCTCGCGGGCCAGGAGGCGAAGGGGCCAAGGCGGTCGCGCGCCCAGGGCGCCGGGCGCGGTTCCGTAAGTGAGGGCTTGCACTGGGGGCCGTCAAACTCGGGATGACGTGGGCTCCCACGTTGCGGGCACATCACTTGCGCTGTGTCAGTGCTGTAGTGGGCGCCCAGTTAGTCGCTCTGTCTTTTCCTTCAAGATCCCTTCCTGTTCCGGACACTCTAAACCCTAAAGCACTGACCCGCTGACCGGTGTTGGCCTTGTCAGCGGAAGAAGAAGGGATCTTCACGGAAGAGACTGAGGGGCTAATATGTTCTCGTTGAAGTGCGGATGCTGAGGAGGAGGATTGAACCGGCGATCGAACTAGGCACCCAGTCTGATGGGTTGTCTCACCGCTCCACCAAACCACCTGGTGAGGGGCAAGGACGGGGGAAGTCCAGTCCCTTGAGTACCATTCCACCCAACAGCAGCGTCAGTTTCGTTGTTGTTGAAGCTCGGGAGGCGCAAAATGCGCCAGGCGTTCAGTCCGGTGCCCACCAGGCCTTGGCTGGCGGTTTTCTTTTGGCGTTTCTTCGTTCTTTGTGTTGTCTTCTCGTAATGGGGAATGACAAGATCTGGATTTCGTAGGTGCAATGCGTTGCAAATTTGCGAATGAGCCCGAGCATCGCTTCATTGGGCAAAATCCAATTCGCCATCAATGTGGTGGCTGATGGCCGCCTGTGTAGAGGCACAGCTATGTGTTGGTAAGCAAAAACTTTTGCGTTGAAATGACTACCAGGGGTGCTGGAGATTTCCCTGTGGAGATGAGCAAGGGCAGCTTATGTGGGCAAATTTACGGTGATTGTACACAACGCTTGCTTAGCTTTGATGGAATTGCAATTGTACAACAGTATTTTAGTCTATCTGTTTGCTGAAAGCAAATGCGGCCAGAGGCCTTTTGGTTGCAGCCAATAGGAACTGCAGCCGACGGGTAAAGATAACGACATTATGTCCTTCGAAAGACGCAAGAACATTGGTCACCAGCAAACTGGTCCTTGAAGGACTCCCAACTCGCGGGGCGTATGCCCTTCCCATTGTCCCTGAGCAGCGAATTGCCCCAGCAAGTGGCCTCTTCCGCGCTTGCAGGAGTTTGAGGGCGCTGTGTCTGTGGCACCACCGCATTGATGGGGAAGCGCATGCCGCCTAGCTTCCCTAATAGTTATACATGAAACTCTGATAGGACAGCGCGACCGCGGATCCCAAAGGAGACTCTGCTTGAAGTTCGGACGAATAAGAAACATCTCACATCCAGGCAAGGCCTCAGGCGTTATTTCCCTTCGAGAGAATCAGGTTCGGTGGTTCGTTCCATGTAATGGCAGGATGCTACAGAATTTTGAGCCTGAATTTCCCAATGTTCATGTGTATGGTTTGTTGACAGTAAAACATATGAAGCATCCGAGAGAGCTGCGAGCTGGAAGCAATGCGTGCCTCATTCTTGAGTGAAAGCTGGTTTTTGTTATGTGAACTTTCCCGCCTGTCCCTGTCACCATCATCGTGGAACCTTACAGAGCGAGGCAAGGTCGTAGCCTGCACCTGTGCCTGCTATGTATTACTGTGCCTACTGTTACTATTATGTATTATTATACGCCTCGTTATGTAAAATGAGTGGTGATGATGAGAAGCCTGTGCCTGCCCCTGACACAGTCGTTTGGGCGTCCCAGCACCATGCGCACCTACAGCCTCTGATAGCTGTCTGGGGATCATTCAAGCTTCACAAGTTAACGGCCATTTAGACGCACCAAATCCGTGCCGCGCACCTTGGAACGGATCCCCTTGCCGGACGGTGCCGTGAGCCATCTTCGGTGGCGCAACGGGGTTTGACAATTCCAAAGACAGTCAGCTTGCTGCGTGGCGGGTCTTCGACGCGGGGTGCGCACTTCTGGCAAAAATTCGCTTGTTGCAAACAGCAGGTTACGCAGGAGGTTGGTGGAATTCGCGCGGGCCTGGAGCTCTCGGGGATTGCACAGGGAATGGAGGGAAGGTGAGGAGAGTTCTGGCCCAACTGTAGCCATCGAGTCAATGCTGACCATGTCAAACAGTCAAACACCGGGGTAACGTGGAGCACGTTCACGGGCCGGGGTGCGTCAGGCCCCCGGGTGACACCGGCCTTCGGCGAGGCTGGGATAAGGGGCCCGAGCAGTGGCGGGTACTTGAATGCTCTACCCTGTTGTGGGCAGCCACGCGGGGCCCCTTTTGGTCCAGGCGGAATGCACTAGATGAGCGCGGCACTTGCGTTTGTCAGGAGCCTCTGACAGAAAACCGGGCCCGAGGTTTTGCGGACCCCCGCGGCGGTGCCTCCGACGACAGAAGTTGCGAAATATGCGCACATGGCTCGATATCGCACTTTAAGTCATGCTAAGTGCGCTGACTGACCCATCTCAAGTTGGGGTCGCGCGGCCACGTCAAGAACACCATTCTCAGCACCTGTCTCCTGGACGCAAACTAGTGTGTCCTGGGGTCGTGGCGGCTTTGAGACTGATTTCAAACTAGAGACAGTTTGGATTTCATTCTCTCGCCATAATCAGTTTCTGATAAACAGAGCTTTTCGTGCACAATCGCGCTATGTGGCACTTGGGTGACAGACATGGGGAAGAGGAACTGGGCGTTGCAGCATTTCCCCACCTGCAAAAGGAAGTCGACAAATATAATCAACCATACTTCGGAACATGAAAAATGCCAAAAACAAATTCCCTCGAGGATTGGTGAACTTCCGCTGATCATGAGGTTTGAGGCTTTGGTTGGCCATGTTTATGCAACTGGTAATCATAAAACCTCATCTGGTGTGACTGCTTTTTATCGCACGCGCTATCACTATTCCGCATCGCCACGGCTGGCAGAACTAATCAGATGAAAATACGTGCAGCAAAACGAGCACAGATTCATTCTAATTTCACATTCAATTTATTCGTTAGGGCTTCCCATCTAGTCTCCAGCCATCACCCGTCGAAATGCAGATATGAGGTGATATTGTTTCCTTTTTGAGGCATTTCTGGAGCCTAATAGCAAATTTGAAATATCAGTAAGTTCCAAGGCGCTTGATTGTGGGCCCGTTCGTCAGAATACGGCTCCGAACTCTGCGAGATTCCAACTGCGAGATACTCTGTTCTCAAGCTGGACGGAAGGTTAATAGGAATGCGTCGCAGGCATGGCACCGTAGTCCACGTGCTCTCAAGAAAGAATCACAGATGTCCACCCACAAACATGTGGAGGAGTTGTGTCCACAGATTCTGTCCACCAAGTGGGAAACTGCTCAAAAGAGTACCCCTTTCGCAGCGGCAGACGACAGTGCCCAATTGCTTGATCGCAATCTGGGACTCCGTCTCGTCGTTCTGTCGAACTAACGCGCAGACAGACCTTGCTCTTCATGAAATGCTTGCTTTGGCATCTTATCAGGAGGTGCTAGCATGTGTTGCATGAGCTCGCAGCTGAAAACTGACAGACCACGCACCAGAACTATATCCTTATTCACTGTGACAATGAATAAGACAAAAATGAACGACAATCACTTTTTGCCCATACAAAATTGTTTGGATCCTTCAAACAATGAATATCTGTAGCAAGCACGAGGTATTTTTGGACCCAGCTCCGTTTCATAAAATAAAATGACATAAAGCGGAAAAAATCAAAATGCGACCACACCACCTCATGAGGTGGTGATCATAGCTGCTGGAGTTGCTTTCTTGCTATCAGTCTATTTCTTGCTGCAATTTGCATCACAACATTTTACCCGAGCTGCAAACATTAGTATTTCAGGGCCTGAAAATATTTCATCACAAATCAAATGTGTTCTGAACATTGTAATGTAACGAAAGCCAATGGCATGGAGTTTGTGTTTGCGCATCATCCAATGAATTGTCTTTTCCACATTTAGAGTAGTTCTGAAAATACATTGCTTGTCAAATTAGCGAGCATTTCCCGTCTACATTCCTGCATTTCAGGACGAAGTACATTCAGAACACACGAGGCACTCAACAATGAAATTCGCCATTACATCAAGGCTTCTAGTTGTTCAGGCGATATGCATCAGGTTGGACGCAAATCGAAAGTTAGTTTCATGAGCTACGTGACCATTGTTTGATTGTTGACTAGATTTTGCATCCCGAGTCTGTGTTAATATTTCAGGAGCACCTTCGACTGGAAAAAGCTCTAGTTGACGCCAAGACATGAGCCGAAGCCTTTCTTTGGTTTGCACCGACTCAGTTTGTCGCCGTGTTCCCGTGAACTACGGATGCGCGTTGCAGCGCCAACCGCGCAGAGGGTGAAATGAGAGACGTGCACCTTTTCCTCATAGCTGTAGCTCTGGTAGCAACCATCAAGGTAATTGAACTGTGATTCCCGCCCGTGTTTGCAATGTTCAAAAGGCAGTGTTGCCAGTTTCTGTCATCAGTGTTGGCTGTGTGTTGTTCACGTTACATAATTTCCATCAGTAATATTGCAGCACACCAGCATTTGCTGGTGGAGCAGATTTATTATCATCTCTTTTGCGCATTTTTGAATGAATTCCTGTTCAAAGAGGAGTTTATATCAAAAGCGCTTACTTAGGAATCAGTACATCGGCAGTAGTTTGTGGCATGTCTACTCTCATGCGAAAGGCACAGACGCTATTACTCCGCGAAATTGTGATGCATGGGAAAACAGTGATGGCTCATAATCGGATTGAATTGCAATTCCAAAATTGCATGAATGTCAGTGAGAATTCACAGGTGAATGTATATAAATATTGTTCTATTATCTGCCCCTTGTTGGTATCATTCTTCCAGTCTCGTAGGCCATCCCTGATAATCGCCATGCACGAGTTTATATTATTATTGAGAGGATCAAAACAAATTCGCATTTCTTGTTCTACATTAATGGAATAATTTAGTAAGGAAACGAGCGTGCTGACCGCGTTGAATCATGGGATAAAAAGCCTGGGGCTCGACACTGAAGTTTCCTTCGGCA